GTTTGGGTCAGCTGTCCTGGCTGTGCCCCCTCCCGGCTTCTCGCTGACAGGGCATGGGAAGCTGAAAAGTCCTTGACTAGTGTAAGCACTGCTTAGCAACAACTAAAACACCGGTGTGTTATCAACATCGTTCTCATCCTAAATCCAAAACACAGCACTGTACCAGCTACTAGGAAGGAAATATGACTCTCTCCCAGCCGAAACCAGGGCACTCAATTAATAGCAGCAGGATTGCTGGTCCTTGCAATTATGATTTAGAGCGAAAAGAATTCCTTGCTTCATCTGCATTATTGGAAACGAGTGCAGCGTACAGGAGCTGTGGAAGATGGACTCATTTGTTCAATAGTTCGTCCCCTGGAAGGAGGATGTTGGCTCACTGAGTAGAACAGAAAAAAGTTGTTGCCCTGGCAGAGCAGCTCTGAGTAGGTGACAAGAATGGTCCCTTCTGCTGTTTCAAACGGGATGAACTTGTGAAAGGAAGGAAAGTTAGCTTCGTAACCGATCTTAACGTGCTTCAAGCAAGCAGGACTTCTATACAGACTGACATGATTTCTAGCATTCCGCTTTTAACTTTGTACTTGTTTTTGTCTTTTTCAGGACTGAAAGTGAATCGCCTAGACATGTATGGAGAAAAATACAAGCCTTTTAAAGGTGTCAAATATATCACAAAAGCAGGAAAATTCCAAGTCAGGACATGAGAAGATGTTCTACTTCCAAGAAGAAATTCCCCTTTAGAAAAACTTGACTGCTTAGTGACTTATGTTGCTATTAATTAGGTGCCAATTAATTAATAGACACTGATTAGTTTGGGATCAAAGCATTTGTGCACAGCAGCTCTTAAAATGAAAGCATAGCTTAGTTTTTCTTAATATGGCTTTAAAATAAGGTACTTTTTTCCTAATACACCTTCACTCTTTTTTTACTGAATTGTTGTGCTGGTGAATAGTTTGATATAGGCGATCCACAAAACGTCGCAAACGCTACACTGCCAGTCAGATACCAAAGCCCAGAGGCCAAGCACATTACGAAGGCCAGACAGGCCACTGGAAAAGTCTTGTGGTGGCACGTTCTGCTGCTGCAGCCACCTGCAAAGAAAGCTCAGCTATTCTCGCTGCAAGCTGGCATTCCACAAAGCATCATGTAATCCCTTCAGAAAGAGAGAGCAGCAGTGAGAGGGGCAGGGGTCCCACAGGGGCCTGGGACATAGCAAGTGTCACTCCTGAGAAAGAGCTTCTGATGAAGAGAAAAATAATTTCCTTGTTTACAAGAAATCGCCTTTCTTAAGAAGCATTTGCCTTAATCAGCTTTCATTTGTGCCATCTGCAGATGAGCTGATAAAAATAACTTTCTGCATTAAATCTGGGAGGTGATTGTTGCTTCAGTAATCCACTTTCTTTCCATTCAATCTCGTCATCGCCATCGTTTTTTTTAAGAATACAGTTGCAGAGAGTAAGATCTATTTTTTACGTGAAGCCTTTGCTTTGATTTAGATGTTCCACTTGTTCGAAGTGGATGCCACCAGATTTGTGCCACGTGTACACTGGAGCGTAGCTTTTTAGACAGCACAATAGAGGTGTCAAGTGTATTTAATGGTTGTGTGCTTTAATGTTATGAAATAAAGGGAACTCTACTGCAAATACATCTTCTCTGGTGAAATGTTTGTGCTATCGTAAACTATTCATGCTGCTCTTAGGCAGGAGGCATCTGATACACGGTTAAATGATGACTATTTGCTACATCTTTAATGAACTTGATCACTGTGCAGCTATTTAAAGTTTAGAAAGGGCATTTAGGAGCACGGCAGGTAAGCTCCCTTTCATGTTTTTCATTTTTAAATGGAAGACAATTGATGTTTAGATTATGACATTTCAAAGACAACAGCAATGATGCACAGCTGACTAAACTTTTCCTTATTACACCAGCATAAACTTATCTCTGTAAACCAACACGTGCTCCACAGCACCCGTCAGGTTTCAAACCATACGTTTGGTTAGTACGCAGTAGGCTGAGAAACCCAAGTTCAGAATTAAGGAAGGGTGGGATACCAGAGAATCTTTGTTTCCCTAACCTGTTTGGCTTACAAATTGATGAATAGGCGCTAACTTTGCTTCAGATGAAGAACGGGAACTAAAGTCATTCAGTAGTCAAAATTTCAAATACTGGGACAAAAAATGACGCAGTCTGAAAAAAGGAGGGGGAACCCATCCGAACGCTGGCAGCAAGCCAGTAAGAAGAGAAATGAGCATATATTCTCTCTCGGTAACTTTGGTAATATCGCTAGGGCAAACTTTGCCAGAGACAACCATTTTGAATTTCTGAAATTACAGTAGATTAGTGTAGACAAAACAGCACTTGTAAGACCCAGCACCTATAAGAAAGCCTTACATTTGTGTAGACGTGTCACTGGGTATTAAAAGCTACCGACCGTCTAGTCTACGCTTTTCAGCTGGAGAAACATCCATCAATTCATTACTCATCCTACAGTTCCGCTCCATGTTTCAGCAAATGGCATCCTTCAGTTAACGGTAATTTTACTGGAAGTCTTGTCTTCAGATGTAACCGATAACGCCCCAAGCTTAAGCCTGAGTAGCTAGAGCTGCTCTCTGCATTAGCAGCCTGGAAATGCCGCAAGGCCTCCTGTCAGAACTGACACCATTACGGATACAGAACGTAACGTAATACCAAAACTGGCTAGGCCTTAACACCAACGCTTCCCTTCAGCCTGTTGCAGAACAGGCCTTGCCAACCTTCTGTAACGCAGGCACCAGGGAAGCAGGCACAAAGCTTCTGTCTCTGGAAAAGCTTTGAGCCGTACTTCACAGCACACCACCAGAAGTCTCCGTCAACAAGAATTACACTCACCTGGCAGGAAACCACCATGAGCATGAAGACGGTTTTCGTCAGGGAAATGGCGTTTGTCGTGTCAGGCTCGTACCTTTTGCTGTAGGTGTGCTGGCTCCTGCCATTTCTCCAAACACAGGAAACTCAGCTGCAGAATCTGCAGACGGGGGGGACTGTGTTCGTATTCTCCCCGTTAAGAAAACTGCACCAGCACCTGTATGAACAGTACAGCTTGAGAAATCGGAGGGTGTCATTATTGAGGAATTAGTACTGCCAACTTTCGTCCTCCCCTTCTCTAGGTGTCCAGCTCTGGGAGTGCTGACAGAGGTGATTGTCTCTCGGGTTCTCATCCTCTCTCAGATATGGAGAGAACTGGGTGAACAGTATGAAATCTGAATTCTACCTATTCTTACTAAATCCCAGATGCCTTCCGGCACTGTGGGACTGCGTTCGGTCCTACAGCACCAATAAACGTTGGTTCCACAAAGTCAGAACGTTATGTGTGCCGGTAGAAGTTTTTAGCGAGAAAAAGTGTTTTGTAAGAGGTTCTTACTGTGAAGGAGTGAAGGAAACAGGACAGTGATTCCATGCTAATTGCTCTTGCATTCAATTTGTGAAGTAAAATTCAGATTAATGAGGTGTTGGCCAGAGTAGCAGTTCTTCCCTTAGTGACAGGATCAGGCAAATCCCATTTCAAGTTTTCAGAACCTTGTTCGGTGCTACTGGAACAGGTGACCATCAGGCCTCGGGAAAAACTCCCATTTTCTCCCACTGGACCACAGCTTCCACTAAGTTCTTTAACTACCAGTTTTATGGGCACAAAAGACAGAAACAAACATTTGTTGTCATCTTCTCCTGTTTGGGGAACTTGGCACTTTTTTCTGTTCAGAATACGTAGAAACAACTGTTCTTTTGCTTTAGTATTTCTGCTGCTTTAGCTTTCTGCTCTTCTTCTTGTTAGGGTGTTACCCACCGCTCCGTTATCATTAATACTCACGAGCTGACATTTGTACAAATGCATTTTTATTGTTTTAACAGAACAAAGAAAGGTTGAAAACATTAGACTATACAATACATTTTGGTTTATAAACAAAGTTTTATAGTGGTAAAACATTTCTAAGTGACATTCATGGTCTTTTTCAAATTTTTGCTGCATTTCAGGTCCGAAGACTATTAATAGTGTTCAAAAAAGCAGTAATTGCATAAGGTGGACAAGTATCTTCGCTTCTACAAAACAGTTCAAGAACTTATAGCAAACATTCTGGAAGAATGTCAAAGGCAACCATGATTCGTAACTTTCCTGCAAACATTCCTCAATAAACAAAAAGTGATCTTTGGCATAAACAATTATGTTATTAAAGGCATTAGTAATATTGCATTAATATCAGTCAAGCAACTAAACAGTGATGCTAAAAAAAAAAAATAAATCTCAGAGAAGCCTGAATTGGGGGGCGGGGGGGAGAGGAAACGTGAGGAGCATTGAAAAGTAATTCAGGAAGACTATTTAGAAAATCCCTTAAAAATAACCCCTACCTATTCAGTGTTATTTACTATTAAATAGAAATTACTACATTACAATTACGTTAAAGATCTGGTATAAACCAACCAAATGCAAGACATTCAGGTTAAGGCTCTGGCACCCCTTCCTTCCTCTTCCCGTTGCAGGTAATCGCAGGAAGAGAATACTAAGGAAAGATCCTAAGTACCACGTATTTCATAATACCCAGAGACAAGGAGTGAATTAAAGATGAACGCGTGCTTTCTTCTTGCTAAGGTCAGTCTGAGGCAGATGTACTATAATCAGTTTAACTTCCCTTTTTAGATAACAGTGCAATGAAGGGGGGTGGAGGGGAGAAAGTCCAACTGTAGAATAACTGTTGCAGACAGGTAAAGGACAGCTGACTATATGGTGCGTCTCTCTGAGCTGTCAAGACTGAGCAGTTTTTCCACGAGGGCACTTCTATGAAAGGTGGTTTGATCGGGCAACAATTTTCAGCAAATTAAGAGGGCGTCGTGAGGTCAGTGCTGATCTGGGCAGAGGTCTGCAAGTGTTCCTTGCAAATGTACAGAGACTCATTCTAAGCCAGTAATTCTCCTTTCTGTCAAATGCCGAAAGAGACTATGGAGCAATTAAATGAAGGGGGGGTGGGGGGGTGGGTGTATGTTCAATTATGGAAGGATAAAAGCATCCCAAGTCTATTTTAGTAATAGAGTGGGGGGGATTTTGTGGGGTTTTATTGTTGTGGTTTTGTTTGGGTTTTTTTTTAAAGATACAGTAACGCTTTGTTCAATTCACTATTACTAGAACTCGAAAAAAAGATTCTGAGCCTCCAAACACCAAATGTCAAAACCAATAAAAATATCCTAGGATGTTTAGCATTAGGAACCACCGTTTGCTGGAAGCCATCAGACTACCTAAAAAGGGTTTCATGGCCCTGCAGTGCTTGGGTTTCAAAAAGCTTATGCATTGCTGGAAACAAGGGCAGTGAGGCAAAAGGTCTTTTTTAATTGAGTATCTTTATCTTTTAATTTCCACCTTGAGTGGCTGGAATAACATCAGATGGAGGGAAGAGGAAAAAAAAGAATAATTGCGTGTGCTCATTTGGTTTTCAAAAGGAAGGAGTCAGCGTGTGGCACTGTCTGGTCCTGGACATGCAGCTAGCTTAAGAGAAACAGGATTTTTCAGCTCAATACATTACTGAATTGAGCAAGAAGGAAAGAGTTCCATGATTTAAGGTCTCCAGCCGTAAGGCTCAAGCTGTCAACAGTGTGCCACTTACACCCACTCGAAGCATTTCAGTACAGTACAAGAGTTCTGGAATGCCTACCTACAGGGTGACAGGAGGGTGACAAAGACAGCTCCAGTTTTTGTTAGAGTACTGCTGCCAGGCAAAAATCAAAAGAAAAAAAAAAATCATTTCGGACATGGAATTTTAATCGTCAATTTACAACTGTTCTGCTGCCCCCCCTCCCCCTTTTAATTAAAAACCCTACACCTTCCGTCATTTCTGCATGGTTTGAGAACAGCCAGCTAAAATCCTGTTGAAAAGTTGAATGTTTCTATATCAATGATTGTCCCTAAAAAACTGCCAAGTAACCAATAGTGTCCTAGACTCTCAACACAAGCTTAAAGTGAGGTCCACGTTTTATATCATCACATGGAAACTACTGGAATATACAGTGCATAAATGAAATGTGCTTCTGGGAGTACAGATTTCACGAAGAGAATTTTCAAAAGCAAAAAAAAAAAGAACTGTCTACTGTCGGAAGCAATTTTGAGGTGTTCGATATCAAATGCTTTCCGAAGACATTTGAAATGCATTCTCTTATATTTCATACCCTTAGAATGGGGCATTAGCATAAGCTAATCTTAAGCTCATGTATACAGCACCTTTTGCTGTTAATCTCATCTGTTTCCAAAACAAGGCATTTTATGTTACAGAAAACAATACTTATGTGGCATTTACTGATACCATGGGGTCTTTCTGACCCAGCGAAGAGTGAATCCAGCATCTGTTCTTATCTTAATGGATGCTGCTTCAGCTTCTCTCACAGTTTCCTTCACAGACTGCATGAGATTCTGGGCATTATGAACCAACATCTCAGTTGCCTGTCAAGAAAAAGAAAAATTTCCAATGTATTAGTAAATACCACGTTCAGGACAGTAGCATGGAAACCCATCATGCATGGGGACTCCCAGGGCAAGCATTAAGTCAGTCGATTGCTGACTTAAACCATGAAAAAGTAAATGAAACAACTCGTCTCTGGAAACTAGCAAGCGTTATCCTGACTCACAACAAGACCTTCCCATTTCTCACAGAATATTTGTGCAAAATCTGAATAAAAGCTTAGTGTCTCCAAGTAGAACAATCTCTCCCAGAAGCCAAACCTGCAGGATTTCAACTGAAAACATGCATTTGGAAGCTAACGGAACTGCAAGACAAGTACTCAAGATGTTGTTGGAGAATAAATATTTTCACGACGATCCACCAGAGGGTGCCGCTACTCCTCCAATGTCAAACCTGCTGGATTTGTAGAAGCAAGGTCTTTCGTTAGCTCGCTTTTTACTGTTAAGTCAAGGAGATCAAGAAGTTATTCATGTAAAAATTGGAACCAGAGGAGCTTTTTGGCTTGGGAAGGATTGATGTTCCTCTATCAAACTGTAGCTTTTGAGCCAGAAACCAAGGTGCTATACTAACATTATCTTCGCTAAACAGCTGAGGCAAGCTTCCAAACATTGAGTTCCAGAGCACATCTGATATTACGTTGCATATTTTTCCCCATAAAACTGATCAACAATTCCACACTACCATCAATTTTCAAACCTCTTACCTGTTCCGACTCTTCATCGCTGATATTAGTTCTGCCCAGCATGGTAGCTTTGACAGTGGAAAGAATTTTGAGTTGTGTGCTGATGGTTGGGATTCGCTCACAGACCTAAGGAACGGGGATAAAAACCACTTCACGTTGTAAACTGAACCAATATGTTAGCTATTATTTTTTTCAGATAAATTCTTTGATTTTGTTTTACTGTCAGATAAGGAATAAGCATAGAAAGGATCTCATAACCTCCAAGAATTTCTGACAAATATTGGTAGGATACTTGAATCTTATTTTACTTGCTTTGGGAATTTTTGGGATGGAGCCAACATTTTTCCTTTCCTCCAGATATTCCTCAAGGGTCTGCTTGGTTAGGAATGGGATGATGTATATTTGGCTGAGACTGAAAAAACTAAGGAGTGTTATATTTCCGCTACTATTTGTTGGTACAAAGGAATGAGTAGATGAAATACAAAGCAATGCAGGCTTAGGACAGACCAGTGCTCATAGCACAGTATTTTTCAAAACCTCTTTGGACACTAGCATCTTCCACTCACCTGTAAACAAATCCTGACTTTAGAGAATATATGTGACCATGGGATCTAAAAACAGACATGGAACTTGACAAAACTTTACAAGCCACGGAAAGATACACGCGATTTACTGCCACAACTCCTGTGCTCACTCACACTAAGGGAGGAACAGAGAAAAGAAAGTGTTGGAGGCATTTACAAGTTAACTCATTACCTGCAAGAGGTTTGTTCTAATGCGCTTGTCGGTGCACTGCTTTGCCACCTCTTTGGCCAATCGAGTGACTTCATCTGATGCCTTAGCAATATCCTTTGCACACTGAATAAGGGCACGCTTGTTTCCACTGCCTCCTCTCACCAGGCGCGACATCTCTGCCATTAGCAGCGCCATTCGTTTAGCAGCAGCAATGATGTCGTTACCCTGAAGAGAACAACATGAGTTAGTGTTCATGCCAGGACAGAAGCTTCACAGAAGTCACGACTGAACAGCAGTCTACATTTTGGTAGCAACCCTTTCAAGAAGTTACGGATGGAAGAACCATTTATGAACACAGAAGAGGTTTCTTCAAGGAACAGGGAAGATCTGCACTAATTATATGTTTCTGACATTTTTCTTCCTAACACTGAGGAAAAAAGTTTGCTTCAAAACTGGAAAAGAAGTGGTAAAGTGTTAGTTCATCCATGGAACGAGAGTTACTGCTCTGCTGGCTAGGTTTTAAGATAAAGCATGTTATTAGCATTTGAAATTCCAGACTTCCCAAAAAAGGCTTTTTTTTTTTTTATTAAAAAAAAGTGTGCTAAATAGCTTGTTAAACCAAACAGCACTAATTCAGTTAAATAGTGTTGTCATAACAGTTGAGCATAAAATTTTCAGTGGCATCTGAAACTGAAGTTGTTAAAGCATCAGCTATGCTGCTATAATGCTAAAAGATAAATGGAAGAGAATCTGTGACATAAAAAACTTTTGTCACTGGTAACATGGAAGTGAGACACAACTATTACTTTTTTTTTTTTTACGTTATTCCTTGAAAATAAGTCTTCCTTTTTGACAAAATCTCTCCCTTTAAAATAAAGTTTCCAGGAGAGAACAAAATGATAGTTCAAAAGATAACCTAGTGATATTTCTTACATTAAAATCCAGATTTCTTGTATTAAGTACATCAAAATTACCGTCACAGAAATAATTCTGAGAAATATTTGAAACATGTGAATTAAGTATGACCAAGGCAAAACCACTTCTTATACACTGTTCCAGAGAGAAACCCAGTGCAAGAAAAAGCAGACCTAGATGAGCAGATGTTAGTAGCCTGTTAGTATATTTAGATTCACCTTTGTAGAAAGTTGTTAGACAGAAGTGAACTCTTTGGTGCCATGACGCATTCCTATTGTGTGGATGAAATACTAGCAGAGTAAGTGTAAGTATTAGCACACTCCTTCCTCAGTATAATTCCACAATTAATGACCAGTGAAGTTTGGAGCAAAGAGTACACAGCGAGAACCCAACTTAGCAAATGTAATCTCTATCCCTGTGCACATACTTCCATGACTCACTACTAGCAAATTCAAGAAGATATCCCAGATATTTTACAGATACAGGTGACGCAAAAAAGCTGAACTATTCGTTACTGTGACCTAATAGCTAAACAGTTTGCTAGCATAACCAGTTAGGATGCAAGTGACATAACACAAAGCTTTTCCATGTTTTCACGTAGGAAGATCAAGAAATTAGGACCAGTGTCATTTACGAAGCCCTCTAACAAGTTATCCAAGCATCAGAATCTGAAAAGGACAAGAACATTTTTTAAGCCCTTCTTATTAAAATAGTTTAGTATATCTATGTAAATATAGAGACACACATACATATACATACACACACACCCCTAACCTTTGTTTGTTACGGGACACCAACCTTATTTTTTGCAGCATGCTATAAAAAGTGACCAGTCTTGCAAACATTTGTGCTTAGACAGAAGAGACAGGCTAGTTGTGAATGTCTGAACCTCATGTTAGATTTCCGCTGGTTTCATGTAAATACAATCTCAATTCAGCAGCTAACAGCATTCAGTGCAGCTTCTTCATAAAAGAATTCTCTCAAGACCAGCATTTGCAATACAGCCAAGTGCAAGCCAGCAGACAGTCAGTCCTCTTCGATAAACACTGCCATACAAAGCCATTCCTTGTTGGAAGGTATTCTAATTGATGGCATCAACGGAGGCAAAGCACAATAGACACGTTAAATGACTTCTTGAATTCTGTATACTCTGCTGTATCTGGAAGTCATTACGAAACCATTAACCATGGCTTCTCAGGTAGCCCAAATGAATGGAAAAAAGAACAGGGGGGGAGGGAAGACAACCCCTAGTACAATTTGAAAACTGCCATAACAAAGAAAAACAGGCAGATGCAAAGGGAGAGGAAGCCTTTAAATATTAATAAGTGACCCAAATCAAGCTTCAATCCAGCACTGACAAACAGATCTAGCAAACTTGTGAAGCCACTCTCAGTCCTTAAAATGAAGTGCAGACACACTTATTCATTCAGAACGGCGGGGCCCAGCAGGGATCAAGAGTGATGCAAATGTGTCAGCGTTCCAAATGGCTGGATGCACACGATCAGTCCCCGAGGAGACTCAGGAGTACCTTACTAGACCACTTGGTTGCTTCCCGATGTAGAGACTGAGCAGCAGCCAGAATGGGCTGGTTAACAGGCTGATTGGTTGGCATTAACAGCAGCTCAGGCTCGTAATCATCTTCAATGTCAGAGGGGAGAGTGAATTCAACATCTGCATCATCCTCCTCATCTATATCTACACCAGCCTCAGCCGCTTCATTAATCACAGTCACATCAGGCTTTGCAGGTGGCAGCAAGGGTGGAGAAACAGGGGACAGTTAGTACGAGAAGCAGAATTTGGTAGAAGAGCATGAACTGAGCCGTTTTAGTGACCAAATACATCCTCTTGGTCTCTCAGGATCTGACAAGACAGCTCTAGGATCAGGTCAGAGGGAGGAGGGGAAGGAATACAAGATTAGCAGAAGGAAACAAACATTTCACCTGTGAACCAAAGTTACCAAAAATACTAAGAAGTTACAATGCAAAGATGCAGCAACATTTTTCATCTGAGCACACAGCTTCTGCAGACAGAGGCTGACTTGCAGAACAACATTTTTCTGGCAAGACAATGGTGAAATGAATGGAGTTTCTGTTTCAATGAAAGCCATTTTGACTGCAGAGAAGCAGGCACAGCAGCTGACGACTGTGGTATTTGTGCAGATAGAAAGCTTTGTATGGAAGCCCGTTCACATATATGTGATAAGAGATAGCAGCAGGATCACAGAAAAACCACTGACACTGCTTGCTGGGGGCGGGGGGGGAGAAGGTGGGAGACACCATAGAAGCGACTATTGAAGTACCACAGATAACATGAAAAAGAACAAAACTGGGTTATGAAAAGAGGAGGTGATACTGAATGTCATGAATGCTTTGAATAGTACAGTTCTTAAAAAAAGACTAATAGCATTAGTAGAATAAGAAGCATATGATACTGTTTTGCCACAATATGTTGTATCCGTTACCTTCAAAAAAAAAAAAAAAGAGGATTCAAGCAAATATATCGTGTTAGGATAGATCACAAGGAAGAGGTGAGTGGTATAACAATACAGGCATTTATAATACAGCAGCATTTCAATACAAAGATATTCTACAAGTTTACTAACTGTATTTCTTTGACTAAAGCCAAGCGTGATAAAAGTCAAACTACCCTTACCAAAAACTATGTGTTTTCAACTGTGTTTCGCTTAAGATACAGCCTTTTATAGAAAAAACATCTACACCAATGAAAACACACAGGAGTTTTGGAAGGAAGTTTTAACTTTTATACACTGCCAGATCAACTCCTCTTCAAAGACAACTTCTATTTAAATCTTAATCTAAAGAAAAGTTTCCAAATACCGCTCATTCTCTGATTTATCCAAATGAGGGGGAAAGGCAGGGAAAGCTAAAGCAATTGACAGTGTTTGGTTTGTGCTCCATGAGAAAAACGGAGTACATAAAAGCCCAGAATCCACTCAGTGAAGAGGAGTTTTTGTAAAGGAGAAAAAAACAAATCGATTTTAAAGCTTACAAGAATGAAGAATGTTATCAAAATTTTTTAAAGACTAAGTTCTTGTCCCCCCCATAAGCGTAACACAGGGTAAAGAACCAGTAGACTGGTACTTTACTTTGCCCAGTAATTGGACAAAAAAGCAGAAGACAGTGGACAAACAGACTATTGTGATTTAGTATGAGCAAGACCTTATATTTCTGTCTTTCCAGGTCTAACCCATATTCCTCAGTAGTGCTGTCCATCAATCCCTCTTCCACCCAATAAGTGACTTCAGAGACTACAAAAATGTTTTTGAACTTCTTCCCCAAAAACATACTGTCAGTATAACTGTACTCATTGCTAAAATGGGACTGCTAAAAAAGAATTAGAAGGACAAATGCTAGGCTAACTTACTGGTTTGTTCATCTCAAATTAAAGAAACAGCAACAAAAATGGTGTTTTATGTTCTAAATGCACTAAGCTTAGACCTCTTTCATAATCAGCAAGGAGTTTTAAGGTCTGCTGCTTGGCTTTGATAGATGTTTTAATAGTTGCACTATTTAATTTAGAATGTATATAGTGTATATATAGGTAATTTAGTATGTATATAGTAAAAGCATTTTATTACTTACTGTGTATTGTTAGGTTACCCATTTTGGGATTCAAACATCAAAACACTTTTAGGAAGCTGAAATTAAGGCTTTTGGCCACAAAACTACCTTCTGAGATGACTACTACATTCCAGTACTATCCCTTTAGTAATATAAATCTGTATTTGGTATATCCAGAAGTATGGGGGGAAAATAGAGCTTTTCATTTTATGGAAAAGACACTCAAACAGATTTGCAGGACTTCTTTTGTATTTTATCTGTACTTCCAAAATAGATGTTCCTGAAGCACAAAGCACTGAAGTTGATTCTGTAAGCTATTCAAGTTTATCTTCTCATTCACCATCTAATTTGGTGGAGAAAAAGAGTAGAGATCTTAAAAGCCAAATTCTGATCTTTAATTTATACCTGCAGAAGCTTAACTCTCAGAAGTTTCCTCAGTTGCTGCCAGAGGAAAAATGTAGCTCTTTGGGGACAAAAAAGGGAAAGCAAAAAAGTTGTATTAGCATTTATAAAACTGACGAGGTCACACTGCTCTGTCATAGCACTGAAATGGTAAGGAAATGAAGGATTTTGGCCTTGATAGCGAGTGTGACTCAGTATGAAAAAGAATGAGACCAGGCCATCTATATATGGTCACTTTTCTGATCATAAATGCACCAGATTAACTGCGAAGTAACTTGCAGCTCCTTCCAGAATTAAGACAAACCAGCTCATGATTCCTGCAGCTGGCACCTGCAACATTCATACAGGCTTTTCAAAGTCACTTAAAAATAGCAATCAGCTTGTCAGTCTAGAAAGGCATAAAAGTATTAGTGGCTCTCTAGGCAATACTAGCATCAAGGATCACAAACAGCTTAGCATACAAGGCACATTTGTGTTCACAGAGCTATGTTAATAAAGCATTCTAGCAATTCTGAGTATTAGAACAGTTGACCCTAGTTCACTCCGAACTTGAGAGGGTTTCTAATTCCTCCTACGGCAGTGTTTTTACTATTTGGTCTATAAAAGACTATACTCTGTCATTGAGGCAACTGACTTTGGACCAAATACACTGATACTAAAAAAAAAAAATAATTTTTTATATATATATATATATTCCTTTTAGCAGAAGACACATATAACAACTTCTTACCTTGCTAGACCATTTCCGGGCTTCATCATGCAACTGCCTAGCAGCCATCATCATGGGCTGATTAATAGCTTCTCCTGCTTTCTGCTCTGGGAACTCTTCATCCTTTTCTTCAGGTGGTGGTGGTCTGGGCGGGGGAACCTCACCTTCTGGAAGTGGTGGTTTTGGAGGGGCAAGCTCATCAGTCAGCTAAGAAACAGAAAAAGCCTTATTCAGTGCGATGAAATAGTACAGACTGAGTAAAGGATGGTGTCATGGCAAGACACGATTGCATGAGCTCATGCCTTTTTCCAGTTTTTCAAGTGCTCCATGTTAAGTGAAATACCATGTTTTAATCTCTTCTTTTGAAGCTGTATTGGGTTTTTTTAGACTTAAGGCTACTTGTATGCATGGCTGGCCAGACAGCGCATTCTATTTCTAAGGAATAAAAATATACTCAAGTAATTTCAGTGTGCAATCCACACGTTGTCAGTGACAACTGTGTATTGTATTACGAACTATGCTGCACTTACATGAAGCTGCTCAAGGTCAGGAGGAGGAGGGGGAAAATCTGGTTCCTGAGGCTGGAAGGCTTCTCTGACTTTCGCCACAGCTCCCAGAATTCTGTATCCAGAATCCAAGAAACTCTTCTGCAAACCTGAACAAAAAATCCATTACCAGTTTAACAGCATTCTGTAATACTTCGAACTGCTACACTACCCCAGAAAAATTACTTCTATAACATACTGTGCTGAGTACACATATATATGTAAAAAATAGATGTTTAAAAACTACCAAAATGTTTACAGTGGATTTACATGTTTGAAATGTTAGTGTCATACGCAACATGCATAAAATAAAGCCTGGGCTGAGTAACAGTCACTATTAAGCCAAAGTCATTCCCGGAACAATTATAGAATAAAAGAAATTCAATATTTTCTTATATAAAGTAGTACTACTGACAAGTAGTGACAAATACTTCTTCTAATAAAGATTATGAAATAATGTAATAAACTAGAATGCTGAATCCTTTTCCCTTGAATATGCCAAAGGTCTTTGATTGCATTTTAAAAGAGCAGGATTCAGCAGTTAGTGATGTGACCTTGATTTCACCGTTCTGGGATTTAAGCGTACACAAAATCTGCATAAAAGGGGATACACAGCTGTACAAGACCAAATAAGCACTACTTCACATCATCTTCAGCCAGTAAAAAATATATTTGAAATCAGCTGACTGAATCCTTACCAGGATCAGAAATGTTTCCTGCCACAGCTTTAGCATCCATTACCATTGGCGATATAGTTTTGCTTAGCTCATCAGAGGCTGCTTTAACAGCCTCACGGAATTTAGGGTCTTCTGAATTTTCAACCTCCCGTTTTGCTACCAGTAAGATGCGGTTTGCTCGTCTAGCAATGCTGGTGGCACCAGCTACCAGCATCTGAGGTTGAATGTTGGCCATCGCAACTTTACATTTATCAAGGTCTTTCTTAATAGCCTCTTCTGATGCGTCCAACAGAGATTTTGTATCAATGGCTTCATCCACCAACCCTAGAACAAAAGTTAAACACATTAATATTCTAGTTTCATCTGTGCAAAGGGATATTTGGTGTTCCAGAGACTCTTCACTACCAGAAAAGTAAGCATTTCCAAACTGGGGGGTGGGGAGGGGCGGAAGGGGGCATGGAAAGCAGACCAAGTGTATTACTGCAGTTCTGATTATGTGCTACATCTCTATCACAGTAACCGTGGTCAGGCTTGCTCCCACTAATGGCATCCCAAGCTCTTACTCATCTACCATGGAATGTTGCTCGAGTCAAGAGCTGGCTACCACAGTATATGCAGCAGAGCTTCCTTCCACCAAATTTCTTTAAGCACATTCAGTACACTGGCTTACACAGTGTATGCAGCAGAGCTTCCTTCCCCCCACCAAATTTCTTTAAGCACATTCAGTACTTTTTGTACTTTTCCCATTCATTCAAAAGGAAATATCCCTCTGGCTGTGCTTTTACTTAAGGATGATATATAGTGACAAGGCAGTAAGATATAAAATACCCACAATTTAATTATGGCGACGGAGAAGGAGGTAGTATACAGTCAGGAGATCAGCAGACCAGTGTAAAGGATCTGCACTTTGGAAAGACTGAAACATTTAAGTGTCTCGGCAAGATTCAGTAGATCAGTAGCTTTGTTTTATTCACTGCTTTCATCAAGCCGTTACATCATTTTAAACGTGTCTTCTTGCCCCCACTTAATTATTTGTCCTCATTCAACATGCCAAGATTACGTAGAAAAAAAAACTCGAGTTGCTACAGTGATACATTGCTAGTATTAGAATAGCAATCGCAATAAAAAAAATAACGGTAGTCTGTTTTTCCCACAAAAGAACTAAAGCCAAATTTGCTCCCCTGCAGCTCAAAATTAACACCTATGAAGCAAGGTATTTTGTTTATGATGTAACACATACCTATTTCTAGTCAGAGAGCACATTCCCACTTCTCTTAATTTATTTTTCATCAGTCATTACTCATATGCATGTTTCATAAGAGAGGGGGGGGGGGGGGGGGGGGGAATCTATACCATCTAGTTAGCCACAAGTATAATCTTCAACAAAAATTCCTACTTTACCTGTCATTTTTTCTACATTATCAATCCACTGGTTTTTCATAGTCTCAAAATGTTCATAAGCAGCTTGATTTCCAGGATTTCTCAGGAGGATACGAGCAGCTGATACTACCTGCCAATGGAAAACATTTTTGATTATGGAAGTATCAGTATTTAATGACATCACACATATTCCTGAAAATACATTTTTTTTCAGGACCAGATGTGTTGCTCCTCATTTGGAATACTAGTTCATTAATTCTAGTTCAACATCTAGCTGCTTGAAGATTTACAATGCTCCTGGAATTTGCTGACACAAATACTTTTTTCTGGAACTTCAATTACATGCTTTATATCAAAAAGTGTTTATTATTTAAAAAACACTTCTTGAAAGCACTAAAGTACGTTCATTAAAGACCATTTTTTCCACTTACATATTTACTAAGCCTCAAAGTAATTTTGTTTCAAGGATAAGTCACTCACGCTTCTGTCCAAAAGCTGAAGAGTAAGACATGTCATTTAATCAGTTTGTTCTACTTGGTATCATATACCCAAATATTTGCCATTCCCCTTTTACGTGTCAGCACTATGTTCCTTGCTGGTATTAACATCTGTCTCTGATAGCAGAGGCATAAAGAAAATTCCACAGAAGTTGTCCCCAGCCCTTTTAACAGCCCTTCGAGACTAAGGAAGCAAACCTGTGGGGTAAGTTCCCTTGCTGATTTCACTGTTGCTTGAATGCCCTCCACAGTAGTTTTATTTGCAGTTCCAACTGCAGCTGCTTTTTCTGCTGTAGCTCCCAGTCTAGCAGCATGGTTTTCAAAGTTTGCTGCTCTTTCATCAAACACCTAGTTGTCAGAAGAGGAAAACACACATTAAAAAAGCCTAACTTCCCTAAAGAATACATAATTTCTTCAAAGTGTCAAATACCAGAGACACCTTCATAACGTCCACACTTAGTGCATCTCCTGAGAGGATGCAACAGGACACAAAAGCTTTGAAGCTATTTAATTTTTTTAATCTTTACATTACTGGACTTTCTTCTTTACTAACTCATCTGGGTAACAAAGGATACGACCAGACTTTATAGCTTTGAGGTATCAAGTACACTAATTCCTGATGACTACTGCTGTAACAAATACTGTCTTAAAACTATTTTAGCTCATAGACATTAATCTTCAAACCCATAATCCAAAAGTAACTATATTTGGAAGATAAATATGGGGTTTTACCCTAAAAATTGAAGCTTCACATTGGGAAAAAAAACCCTCCTTCCACAGTCCTTGGTTATTCAAGGCACAGAATACTTTGACAAAAAGCTATCCTGTCATAAAGCTAAATTCCCCAAGGCCTTGGGAATCATGTTGATCGTGTTCAAATCAACCAGCCAAACAGAGCTGCGAGCCACAGAGTTTTAGATATTTCACATGCAGACAGTAGCTTTGAAGTACAGGAAAGAAACATTATACAGCAAGAGAACAGGTTAAATCTGTTGATCAATCTTGCATGCATTTGACTATTTTAATCAGCTTAATGTTGAGATATACAATCCACTAACTAGTCTGTCAGTGATTTTTGCACAAGAATTTTTAGCATGCAACATGGTACATTTTTACCATGAAGGCAACATGGTACAAACATCACAGGGGAAAATCTTTGCCATTTACTGAAGTCGGGGACAATACAGTTTCCAGGCATATACAGAACAATTGTTGAGATATACAATCCACTAACTAGTCTGTCAGTGATTTTTGCACAAGAATTTTTAGCATGCTGAAGGCAACATGGTACAAACATCACAGGGGAAAATCTTTGCCATTTACTGAAGTCGGGGACAATACAGTTTCCAGGCATATACAGAACAATTTGCAATCTCCAAGAGTCCAGAGAAATTTGCATGACAATCACTGTGCTGTCAGAATTAATAAGCATGTATCACAAGCTTGAGGAAAAAAATACTGATTCATTTTTCAAAATACCAATTCAGGTTAAATTAAACAATAACTGAAGCTTCACATGGGAAAAAGACCACCGGGGTATACTTGCCTCATCTCTATTGGGAGCATCAGAAGGAGCAGTGGCTGCTACCGCTAACAATTTAATAGGAGTTGTGGTGTCACTAAAAACATCAGAAACCTCTTGGGTCATTGCCTCTTGCATCCGTGTTTTAAGATCCTTTGGGGGAAAAAAAAAAAAAAGGAAAATTATTAGCACATGATACAGGAATATTAAGTTTGTAGGGATTCAAATCCATAAACCCTCTTCTGGGGGGGGACCCCATTACAATAGCAGTCATTCCGATAAAATGACCTTAAAAGCACGATCAATGAATCACTTATTACATAATCTGAAATACCAGAAGCTTACATACCACCCCTTGAAGCAGCATCAGAAGCTATGAACAGCACGATTTGAGACCTTGCCCCTCAAATTTGCAGTGCTAGCATACTATTTTCTTTTAAAATGAGACTTTGTTTTTACTTCTGAATTGTTTATTTGGAATTAATCCCTATGGCATGATATCAAGGACTTTGTAGAAAGTTTGCTTTAAGCACCTCAGCTAAACCAACAGGGTTTTTTGCTGCACTTTTTTTGTTTTTACTGATGCCTCCCACACACAAGCACTTTACCAGAGGAGTGCAAGTACTTCAGCATATCATGCATTTTACTGCACAAGAGCAGATTTTTACCTTCAGCGAGTCCTGAAGCTGAGCAGCAATTGCCCTGGCCTGAGGAGATTCTCCCTCCCCTCTTGCTGCAAGGTCAGCTAGCTGAGCAGCCAACTGGTCTACACGGTCACATTTGGCAAGAAGGTCTTGACGATAAGGTCCCATCATGACATTGGCTAAACGGCGACCTTCTGCAACCAGACCCCGAATTGCTGCCTGGCCTACAGTGGAAGAAGTCATGTTGCATTAACGTACAGTAGAACAAAAAGCTGAAAGCATAAATCAGATGCACTATGAAGTAAGTGACATTTCAGAATTCTTGGGTTTTTAAGAACACCTTTCTAGGCAGTGGAAAGGTTCTTCTGCAGTTTATCATTAAGCAATTGCAGTTTAAACCCACAGAGGTATTCAACTCACACCAGTTTCTTTTTGCCTATTACAGCAACTCTGGCTAGAGATGCCTCCTTTTTAACTAGGGTGGCCTGACAGAAGGTAACCATTACAGCTGTCAGGTGTTCCTACATAACTGATCTGTTGACTCCAACAGAACGCACTTGCAAATTCCAAGTACTTGCAATTCATCTTCACATCATTACAAGCCATTAGAAGATGAGCAGGAAGAGGGGGAGAAAAGCCAAGTAGAAAACGTAAATGAAAAAGCAGAATACCCTCTCCCAGGATTCCAGAAATCATGGGTAAGAAGTGTCAAGTGTCCAGGATGGGGGTGGGGAGGGGAAATCCTTATAAGGCCTCCACAGTGTGTCAAAAGTTTTCTGTAAAAAATTATTTTCAGCGTGGGTGATTTCCTTCATTCACTTACAGAAGCTTCCTGTTCTTTCACAAGAATATCCTCCTCAATACAATAGTATTCTTCTTTTAAAAGAAGTCATCGTATATTAAGTCCTTTAAAGACCTACTGAAGAATCATTTTAAGCTCAAAACTACTTAGAAGGAAGTTGTCACAGGACCTGATTCAGCACTGCCAGCATCATTTTAGAAAGCTTATTAGTGTAGCTAAGTTTGGTGCTGTTGGACTGTCCCAAGATATTTTTTAATTGTTGTTTTGCATAAGTCAAGTGCAGCCAAGCAAGTGCACTTCACACACCAGTTTAGTATTTCAATACATCTTGCCTAGTTTGTATCTGCCAATTACAATTACTTTAGCCATGACTTAGCTAGGATAATGACTGCATGTAAATATTTGTAGCAGCTACCACCACTGAAGTGGCTCACGTGTTTATAAAATAAAATACACATTCTGCCTTGTTACTTCAAAATTCAGTTTGTGTTGAAGCACTACCCTGGGATAACTGCAAACACACCAAATTATTTGTGACATAGTCGTTACTTAACACTGAAATATTATCACATTATTATAGCACTGAAAATACCAGGCCAAATTCTACCAGAAGTGCTGTCCAGACCGAAGAGAGAACATATCTGATTCATATTCTTAAGATACCTTTCCTATAAGCACCCTGCCAAGGGCCAATGCAAGTGAAAGACATTTAAATGAAAAAAATTGAACAATGACATCATGTTACAACTAGAATTTTTCTTCATTAAACCAGAAACATTAAAGTTATGGGACATGCAACATCTTGCATCTCTACACACATTTGTCGTACGTATTACTACAGCAATTGATTAAATTCTGTAGTATATATCCAGTGTTGAGAAATTTCAGTTCCTTCAGCAAGCTTTCAGTATGTATGCAAGCCTCATGATTAACTAGGCATTTACAGACTTCAAGGAGGATTTAAGTTACCTTTATTTCTTTTAAATTAAAAATTTAAAAAAATTAAGTTTAGGTTTTGTGCTTCTTTGAGCCAGCCACCTCACGGGTTACTATGTTCAAGAGAAACATCAAAATTAGGAAGGTTTTCAGCCACTGCCAAAACATCTCATGAGACCTATCTACCGCCTGCTTGGTCATCTCATTCAGTGTGCAAATTGCTCATCAGAAAGTGTCAAAAAATGGAACTCTACTATTCTGTTTAAAATATTGCATATAAATTTGCACTTCACAACACTAAATCACACTGTATCAACATCACTAAATCTTTAATTCAAGGATCTGTCACTGGTTATTCACACAACAGAACTTATCTTGACAGACAGGGAAAGGTGTGAGAAAGCGGTATTAAAGGTCTGCAGTTATAGTACTTCTTACAAGGCATGTTTCCACCCGTTGTTATCAGTTGCACTACTCAGACTTAACTGCTACGGAAAAAACTACTGAATCCGGTTTTCAAGCTTCATCCACCTACTTGCAATAGCATCAGAAGCAGCTAAACAAGAAATTTCAGAAATGGTTTACAAGCTCTCAGTAGAGCAGCTCCTGAACCATAATTATATGCCCGCTGATAGCATGCTTGGATTCCCAAATCACCTTTCTCTTTGCTTAAGTAGCATTCTCTTCAGATAACCCAGAAACCATACAAGAAGTGATATTTTTAGGTCAGGTTTGTGAATGTTTTTCTCCTCTCTGAAGGACTTAATTACTCAATTCACTGGAGTAGGTATAAATTCAAATTTGAGATACTATATTGGCATGGTAATAAGAGCAAGGAGCAGTCTAAAGTTTGTCTGTTCTACAGCCCACGTTCTCCTACTCTTCACCAAAGTTGTTCTTTCCTTCCAGAAGACAAAGAGAATCACAGGCCAGCTCGACTCAATAATATTGCAGCCAGAACTTGGCTATAAACCTCCAGCCACAAACTGCAGGTCTCCACGTCAGTGAAGAGATTCCATGCACCCTCAGCATCCCAGGAGCAGTAGTTTCAGTCACAAAAATTACTAACAAGTTTAACTCTAAAACTGTGGGGGGAAGAGCACACAGAAACACTTACCTACTCCTCGATCAGCAACTGTAGGATTGTCTATCCACCTTTGAGCTTGCTCAATCTTGCCCTCCAAATGGACAGCTGCTTTAACTGGCCGAGTATTTGCTACAGCCCTGTTTGTTTTGGACTGTAAATTCTGAAGTGATGTAGCTATTTGCTTAGCCAACGCACGGGCCTCAGGAGAGTCACCTTTCCCACTAAGGATTAAAAAAAAGTATAGTCATATAAAGATCATTTACAGCTAGTCCCAAATTCAGCAGAAAGACACAATGAAAGGTACTTCATCTCTTTAAATAAGGTTAAATTTGACACTTGAGTCTCAGAGCAAATAATCTGTCATCCATAAATCCCCACCTCACACTTCTCTGCTGTGGCACCTGGATATTACATATGTTCCACACGGCACTGAGGTGGGGGAAGGCATGGTACTGTCATTGGTAATACTGATGTATGACTTATTTCCCATACTCATGGCTCTCTTACGAGCAACTGCAATAATGCCACACAGATTACAAGCAGAAAAGTAAGCAGCAACAAACCCAAGGTTATATATAAACTTGAAAAGAGGTAGCACATTAAGACCTGCAGCAGCTAAATCTCAAGAAAAACTCGATTAAAGTGTCTAACTAATGAAGAAAAATATTTATCTCCATATTGCAACTGGCCATAGATGAAGATCACGATTTATACAATAACTGTTTCTTCACTTCCATTCTCAAGCATCCTCTTTGCAAAACTGATTTAGAAATATCATTTGCAGCTGAGCACTGAACCCAAGGTAAGAGGGTTTTCTGAAAGTCTTATCTTTTATACAGTTTGCAGTTACAGCTTAGAACACTGACACTGATTGAAGTGCTAGATATTCCATCTTGCCATTTAGTAAACTGCTTAGCAAAAAACAGTGATGACATTTGTCTGTATAAACAAACTTAAATTTCACACTATCTCATTCCTTTGAAGTGCGCTTTGACAGTACAAAGGAGCTTACTTTTGGCTTCAGCGCCTGTCAAATATTCCACAGGCAGTAGAAGGAAAGTATTTTCTAGATAATACAACTCCAGTTACTCTTTTTTTTTTTCCTGGAGGAAGATAGTGTAAGTTGGGCTTTGGGACAGAAATCATTAGGTTGAAGCATTAAAAAGGATACCATATTTTATAAATTACATTTTTTAAAGGATGTTAAAAAGTTAGCTCCCCCTGCCCCCCGCCCCGGAACGGAACAATTCTTCACATTCAATTTTTACTAAATGCAGGATAGAAACTTAGAAGTACAAGATGTCCATTCCCAGTTCTTGGAGGAAAATATATTCCCCAATTAATCATCAATATGCTGATTTTGCTCAGCACTTTGAACTCCAAATGAAAGTAATTCAAATAAATTAATGGTGATAAAACTAATACGTACTGTCGCCGCAGATCTGACAGCTTAGCTGTCAAAGCAGAGATTTCCCCCAAGGAACGAAGGATATCATCTCTTTCTTTAGGCTCCTCACATAATTCTGCAACTTTCCTTGCTTCAGCCATAATTCCCCGAATATGTTCTTCTCCTTCACTGCCCCCATTAGGATCCGCAAGCCAATTCTTAATAGAAAGAAGTTGTGTACAAGTGAAGATAAACAGTAATATTATTTCTATAGAGACTTTTAAACAAAAATAAAAATCAATACAGCTTTCAAAACTTTATTTAACAGAAAATACTTTTCAAAAGCAATTTCTGTTTATTAGATACCATTGTCTGGCAGTTTTTCTGTTTTGAAAAAGATATTAAAATAGATGAAAACTAGATGAAGTCTACCCAAAGATTTTACATTCTCTCTCTTTCCAACATTTGCCAACAGTATTTTCAGAAGTAAAATTTAACTAGTGGCTTTAGAGACTCATGATCTAGCTTTCAGAAGAAAAATGGTAACAGATATTCTTGTGCAGTGTGGCATTCCTTTACAGAGCTCTTCCTAAAAACTTTCATTATCATTTCATTCGATGTGTATAATATTAATGTATATTTATATGTATATAATTATATACACATACACACATTTAGATAAGGTATACACAGAAGGTTCATTATTTGATGACCATCATCATCACTGGGTAATAGGCTGACCATTGAGGGAGTTTTTAAGTTACAAAAATAAAGGAGCAACTAAAAGAAAAAGTAGTTTCATGAACATTGGTTTGCTTTTGTCATTAATACGAAGTTCTAAATCCTGACCTCCGCTCCCAAAGCAGAGCCCAAGGAAAGGGCTCTGGTTTTACCCACAGGTAAATCTGTGCAGTCTGAAACTCCTCTACTCTCTTCTTCAATAAGATTAGTTTATGTTCAAATTTAGGGTGTTTCCTCATTTTAATTTCACAACCTTGAAATTTTTAGCAATGCTAAAAAAATTATGAAAAAAAAAATCATAACCTGTAGCAAAACTCACAGCACCCTATAAAATTACTGAATTTAAGATTCTTCTGTGTAAAACCAAGTATCCCCTACCTGTTCTTCCTAACAAGTAACTGTGTTGTGTTTGGAAACAACTACAATAGTCCAGTATAACAGCTCTAACAGCAGTAATATAATCATGTTCTGCAGTATTTATGAAATCATTAGTGGTACCTGAGCAGCATCAATCTTCTTAGCAATTGCCTGCTTAGAGTTTGTCATGGCCTCCAATTTGCGGGCTGCATTCTCCACTTTTGCAGTGAGCAAATCCAGACCTTGTGACACCTGCTGCGCTTTCTGCATAGCCATGGGTGTAGCACCCTGTCCTCTGCCCAAGACAAAAAGAGCATCACAGATTCAGCTCAGGATTGAACAAAGCTCTCTTCTAATGAAGAGGCAACAAAAAACTGTTTATGAGCATTCCCAGCAATTATTGCAAGAGATACAGTATTTAATCGGATTTTTTTTTTTTTCCTGGGAAAACAGAAATAACTTGAGGAGGAACACCACAACAAGAAGAGTTTAAAACTAAGAGCGTATTTTCCCCTTTCCAGAATTTGACATTTAGCATCCTCAGCAGAATGGACATTTTTTAAGTGTCATGAAGTAAGGCTATTTGAGGACACAGTTCCATTAAAGTACCCAGGGCAAAGCCTGTTATCTCCTCATTTATAGATTGCTGCAAGTCAGTCAGAACCTGCATGGAGTTACATCTCGCCATACCTAAGTGAGGACAGCAAGGCTGTAAGTGAAAATAAGATGTCTTAGTTGCCTCAATCATGTTGACAAAGTAGATTAAAGGTTACGGGCTATTGGTAAGACTTCTTAAAATGGTGACAAGGATGCTAGCAATACAAATTTACAGGACTGTAGAAAACTATTTGCAGCACTACCACTGTTTGTTCAAATGCTTAGGAATTAAAAGATTGATAGAATGATTACTTCAAATACACATGCCTGAGAACATTAGTTTTGCGTAAGAAATCTCATACTCCATTCCAAAATAACCTGACTACTGGAAAGCTTTTTGAGCATGTTAACTTTATCAAACTACTAACTTTAAAAAGACCATAGTAAGTGGAAGAATGACAAGCATGCTACTGAGATGCTAAGGTGTATTTACACAGTCAGGCCAGAGTCTCAAGATATGTTTCTTTATACCTTATTTCTCACAGGCTGAGTTGAAGTTATTTACATATTAAACCGGCATATAAATTAACTCATTTGTTAGTAAATCTTAGTCTGGCCTCTTCCTCCACCTCCAAAAATTTCAAACAATACAAAGCTGACACCAGCCACTGCTTTACATGAAGAGTAGGAGTTTAGCCTAGTTTCTAACGGTGGGGAGGAGCGTTACAACAAAATCAAGAAACCAATGTTAGAGTACTCTAGCTTAACAATTTGCTAGCCTGATAAGCAGCTGAAAAATTCCTTATACTCAAAGGAAGCTGGGCTATAGTGTTCAAACTACATGCAATAGTTATTTCTTAGCTCATCATCTTTATGCCTTCACAAGGGAATATCACACTTCCTACTTTCTGGCAAAAGAACAAAAGGCCATAGTACCCAACACCAAAAAAAATAGTACATTTAAAGAGACTCATCTGCTGCCTAAAACCAAAACCCCTTAAATTCAAAACACCATTGTGAAAGAATAACCAATTTCTAATGAGGAGGCGGAAAACTGATAAAGGGCTCTGGTTAAATAAAACTCTATGCAAGAAATGCCCATGAAGTTCAGTAGAATTTATCAGTGATTCATAAACAACTTCAACAACTACTGCTTGTGGTCTAACATCCCAATAAACACCTAAAACCTATTCACACCCCAATGACTGTAAGATACGTATCCTCTTTGGAGAACAGGCTTAACAGCAGAGTTTAAAATTTCATTTCTGCCTAATTTGGAGGAAGGTTATGTGTTTGACATTAAACAAACTCCAGATTATCTACTTGAGCAATTTTGCTCGTAATGTTACATAATTAAGATTTCACATATTAAAACATATTATGCTTATCAGAAGAGACTGAAGTGAAAAAGGCAAAATACAGCTACTGGCCTGCTCTCCTACAGGTTAGGAAGTGACACAACTGCAAGTTCAGAAAAACTGTTTTAATCATACTGGAAAATCGTCCATTAAAAGTAATAGATTTACCTAGCTCTGAGGTCAGCCAGTTGATCAGTCATCTGGCCCAGCGTTTTGCATGTTCCCAGAATCTCTCTGCGTTCTTTGCCTGCACACAGTTCTCCTGCTTTTCCAGCTTCATCAAGGATCTGCCTTATTGCTTGCTCACCAGCATCCCCTAAGATGCAGAGTCAGTTAGTAAAACAAACAAGACATTCCTTGCCATGTATGAGTAAACTGCTAGTCTCATCGTGTCCCACCACATTAACTGCACTAGGTTCAGTCATGAAAATACATTTATCAAAAACTATGAGATATACACCAAATGTGATAATTATAATAGGACAGTATTTCTGAAACAATATAGCATAGCCTTAATGTGCATCATGTGCCATGTATTTCAAGTCATTTAATCATTCTGTTATCATAGCTTAATTTCTATAAATACTTCATTTATAGAATCTGTAATTCAGGCTAAGAAGGGAAAGAGCAACATGGCAAGATTCATGTAGCCTTAACTTCAGCCAGTTGCAAATCTGACTTGATCAGCCAGTTGCAAATCTGACTTGATTTTGGCTAAAGAAGATGCAAGAACAACATTCCTTTTCCTTGCAATCCACCCTGATCCCATCCTCCAGCATTATGGATAGTGGAGGTGCCAGTACCCATGAAGTACTGGTTCCTCTATGAAATTATAATAATGAAATTGGCTCAAGTGTTCCTATGTTAAGGAACACTCAGATGACAAACGTATTATGAGGCTAGTTCGAAGTGACACACCCAGTAAAATCTGATTTGCAGTAAGTTCTACAATTATCTTTGCATTTGTCCTTCACTACTGAATTTTTAACAGTTTACTTTCTCAATTGTCAGTGTCAATGACAGAAGGCTTTGAAAATAACTTCGAGGTTTCTGGAATTGATTGCGGCGAGGGGAATGAGGTCAGAAGTAATATAAGCAGCAGCTCCACAGATAACAACAATTCACTTCCAACTTTTACAACTGTATTATTCTGGCTTCAATTTCAGAGGAAGTCTTTCAGCTAAGGTCTTTCAATGTCCAAATGGAACAGGTCTCTATCCGGTTTTATTTGCTTTAAAGATGCATACAAAGGCAAAACCTTTATATAAGTAAAGCTGACTGTAGTTGCAGTATTTATGGCAGATTTTCATGTTAAAAATTTTACGTCAAGACAAAGAAAGACGCTTAAAGATTACTGTTAGGTGAATCTGAAGTTATACGAATTTGAAAATACAGAAGCAGGGATTTTAAGTATTAGCAACCACTGCAGTTAAATACTGTTCAATGTAATTTATGGGTTTTTGCTTTTACTAATGGAATGCAAAGAAAAACCATGCATGTTATACAGAGTATATTATTTAGACAACTGAAAAGAAGCAGAGCTTTCCAGGTCATTAGACACAACTTGTTCAATCTTCAGTATCTAAAGAAAGGAATAAATACAGGCTCCTTCTGAATGATCCACTACATATGGGTTATTTATGCTTAAAGGCAATTTTGTCTTACACAACAGAAGTATTCAAGCCTTTAAAAATCAAAATACTTTGTGCTGGGTTTTGGGTTTGGGTTTTTGGATTTTGTTTTTGGGTTTTTTTTCAGTATTACCTGGAGGTGCATTTGGATCTCTCAGCCAACCTTTTGCCTGGTTCATCTTTGAATCTATTAAGGCTAAAGCTCTTTTCATGGCTTCAGTGTCCTTTACAAAAGAGAAACCACCAAAATGATTCTCAAAAAGAAATCAAAGCACAAATAATCAACACAGGCAAAGCAGACAGAAGTTCTATAAAGCACAGCCTACTTACAGAAACACACCCATATAAGCAGCTCAAAACCCATTTTCAAACTAGCAGGTCATAATCACTGCTTTCCAATTAAGACAGACATTTTCATTTCACTCAAAATGCAGAAAATATGCATGCAATTTTAGTGATTTTTCTATTCTTTTATTTACTACTGTTTTAATTTCTAAAGTCAGAGCTCTAATAACCACACATCTTGGAGTTAGTTCCATTTTTTTCCTTAATGTACATCAGGGCACATAGAAAACTTGTAACAATGAGATTAGAGTAAACTTTTCAAAAATGGAAATTGGCCAGTGAATTTTACTACTCACTTCTGTGTAAGAGGTTGCACATCTGCATTTTCCACCTGCTCTGCTGCTTAAAGTCAAACAGCTGCTATTTGCAGAAAAACAGACTGCCAGCTAATTCCTGGAATTCTCAAATACGGAGTTTAATGTCTTCGGAGACAAACACGTGTATTCACATGTGGTTGTTTTAAACTCAGAACTTCTCCGGCAGGAGCATCAGAGAAGCAGCAGCATAATAGTCAAAGAAGCAATTATCCAACACCTCTTTGACTAGAGGAGATAAAACCATGCAGTTCTCATTTCTCTGCATACTCTGTTAATTGTTCATGTGTCATCTCTCCACTAGAGGCCAGAAGTTTTCTATCTTACACAGATGGAAAGACAGTGAAAAAAGTAACAAGTACCTTAAGTAGAAAGTTGGGAAAAAGCCAGAATAGCTTTTTACCACACGTCACAGAAATAATTTGAAGTGCATCTAACATCCCATGATTAGTATACAGATGATGAAAAGAAGCCTGGCTCTTGCGCTATTAACTGAATTGGACTGTCCACGTCCAACTCTTATGAAGAGGAGCCTACTAACACCAACAATCAGTATCTGGTACAGCATGTGATATCCTGACAACACTAAAGAACTGCCACATTTTTGTGGAGTTCTTCATTCTGTGTGCTTAGTCTCAAAGATACATCACTGTAAACATTTTGGCATTTAAGCCAGTTTTATTCAGGCATGCTGGTCTGTCAGCTATTCATATGGTGCTATAATATAATTCAGCAACCAACTTTCCAAAAGGTCATGCGACACTGCTGGATATTTTCAAGGGGTCTTGAATCACAGCCTGAGAGAGAACACCAAAAGCAGAATCATTTTCACCTGGACGGTTGGTTCTCAAATCTAGAAACTGGGTCTCAGAGCTTAGGTCAGGACCTGTTTGAAAAAACTTCAAAAAGGGTAGGACATGCAGCTGGGGGTGGGAGGTGGGCACATTTTTTTAAAAGTCATCTTCTCTATAGCTTGAGAATTGTTCATTTAATATGACAAGAAACAAGTAAAGAATCACTTAAGTATTCAAATGTATATAAAAACTTCACTAGCTGTGAAGGTAGGTATTACAGTTTTCTGTTGTTTTACATATGGGCTGAAGCTACTTTAGTTTGGAATGAATGGTCTACTGCAGGCCTGTCTACCCAGAAATAATTTGAAACAAAGAACTAACTGAATTTTTAAAAAGGCAACAGATGTTGCTTAGTGTGTTGATGAGATGATAGGTGTGGGATGGCTGAGAAAAGGAGAGTGTTGGGAAAACCGTCTTTGCCCCTCCCTTTTTACTAACACAGGCTTTTGTGCTGTCTCAGCTACCTGCAGAGTTGCAGTTTCAGCAAAACTATATAGAAGCCTCTGAATCGGAAGTCTTGTATCAGGGGACAAAATCAAGGGCATTTTAGCTTTTACACTCATGATTTTGTAATTGCTAGCACTACCCAAGCAATTACAGGATCCATCTGTCCTATCATATGAAGGCTATATAACTGGATCGCTTTGCAGTCTAAATCTTGCTATCCTGTGTGGCTCTGCACTCACGTTTGCAAAATACTGTCCCCTTTTCCTATTTAAAAAAAAGCTGGTGAAATCCTAGCGTAGTAGTCGAAGTGTTCCGGGACAACTGCTCTTAAAGCACAGATTTCCCCATCTTCACAGCTCAAACTGCCACGGCAAGGAATCCCTCTCACCTTAACCCGATAGGGAGTTTTCAGTGCAATGAGACGAGTAATTTTTAAATAGGAAATTAGAACACATCCTTAACTAGGTTTCTTGCTACTGCACTTTTGTTTCTGCTACAGTTGTGTCTGGTGTCAGACACTTGGCAAGCAACAAAGGTGTAGCAATCCTGAAATGTCTGGACTTTGCCACCAATTCAGGCTATTAAGGAGGAAGACAAAAGTAGAAATATTCTATTTAAACAAAACAAAGCAACTTGCTCAAGGTCTTACTGATTGAAAGAGTCTCGATAGTCCTGATTTCTGGAGCTGTTTAAATGCCTTGTTCCTTCCTAAACAGCTAAATATGTTTAAAATTTTACTTTTTGGGATTTGCCAGCAGAGTATCAGTTGCAAGCAAGAAAAGAAAAAAATCCTACAGCTATCCTGCAAAAAAAAGTTTCATATAGAGTAGTTTTATCAGAAAAAAAGGATTCTTTCCACCCTCTCCCCACAGTTCCCCTGTTGGCAAAAGGAATTTCATTAACAAAAGCACCACTAATACCTTTTCAGAAGAGATAAACAACTTAAGTTAATCAAGTTAAACAACTAGGGCAACATCGTCTGAAGGGAAAAGAGCAAGTTGGCTTTTTGCAAATCAGTTCCTAAAGCAAATGAGCACTTATTCAAGATACCTTTATGCATCACTTCTGCCACTACCAAGAATTTTGAGATTAATCACGGAGCAGGTGGTATTGGCACTGCTTTGAAAAGGAGCAAAATAAATCCTACACAATCCCTTGTTGAATATAAAACAGAACCTCTGACTCAATAAAGTGGTCTAGTCTGGCGATATCTGCATTTCATTACCAAAGAAGGCAATGTTGAAGGAAATAGGCAAAGTCAGCCTTCTGGCAGAAGAGATAGCTTAGTCACCATCCAGGGTTCAACCCTGCAAGTTACTAGATACTTCCCAGCTTCCTACAACTTTTAACTCCCTCCATTTCTATGGAAATCGAAGATGTTTGAATTGAGTATTACTTCAGGTTTATTTAAAAATAAACACTAAGAATATACAAGAGAAAGCTAGACTCCTCTGTAAAATGGAAAGTTCAAGGAAAAAAGGTACAAAGCTATGAATGGAAGAAATAAATAGACAGTTGGGGTTTTTTTCAAGATTTTGTTAGAGATCAGTATTTGCTCAGTATTTCAATTCTAAATCAGGGTACTATTTTAAAAAATCCAGTGTTGGTGTAAGCAGAGACTATTGCAATCCAGTAACAGTAATGTGCATTTCGGAGTCTAGAAAGACCAACAAAATAGTTTACAAAAAAGCCTACAACTCTGGCTCCATACACTTGTTCATTTTCCACTCTCTCCAGGTAGATTTTGTGGTACTTCAATGTATACACAATTCAAGATAGAATAATAAACATAAAATAAACTCCAACATCAACAGTAGCATGTACCACACAGGTAAAAATTCAAGGCTGTGCATCCCCAAATACACCTTACTTTGCTCCAGAAAAATGTGAGGAAAATACCTTCCCCTTGACTGCCAGGCACAAAATGCATGCAACAGTAATCTCAAGTAGAATTTAAGTGCTCCTCCCTCTCCCTCCCAGAAAAATAATGAGTAATTCAACCATTAGATACATATGCAAATACAGGAAAAGTGGCCATTAGCAAACTAGTTCCTGCTTCTTCATCCCACTGCGTTTTTCAACTCAAATTCTTTGTCATAATTGTTTGGTTAATGCCCAGTGCTACAGTTCCAAATTGTCAGCGTACCTTAATTCAAAAAACAAAATACAATGAAGAAGTTCTCAACTCAGAACAAAATGATACTTTGATTATACTAGTCCACACAACATATTTATGCATTACACATAATGACCAGTATTTTCCATTTGGAAATACTGCTAATACACCAACTATTTTCTCAATAAAATCCTTTATTAGTCTGCCTCACTAGCAAGAGAAGTAAGAATTTCCTAAGGCTAAAATTGCCAACTTTTTGCAAAAGTCTTTTTTTTACCATGAAATTTCCAAATTTGTTGTGTAAAATAAAACAAAACTGTATTTGTATTTTGTAAAATACAGGAATGCTTAAATCCAAAAATAAAACTGAATTGAAAAAATGCACACACAAAATTGAAGTTTTAGGCCTAGACCTGAAGAACATGAACCGTTTGAACTGAAGGAAGGCTGCTGGTGAAATACTATGGAATGGACAAAAATTCCTGATTTAATAAAGCTTTCTGGGCATGCAGAAAGCTTGTTCCTGCATGACTGGACCCTTTATTTGTAGCTACAGAGACTAGTAACATAAATTAACACAAAAGCATTCAGCAAGAATGTGCTCTAAAATCTTGGGCTGACTCTAATCAGACTCAGAAAGACAGTCTTACTGCAGTTCAGCTTGCAATTACCATTCTCTTAGTGACAGCCAATTCTACATGTAGCTAGACAAAGCTATTAAGATCCTTTTAAAACTTCTGTGTGTATATACGTAAGTATGGTGTCACAGCTGGCACACAAATAAAAAGTTGCACAGCACACAGTCTGCACACAGCACAAAATCCCACATACATGCTTTTTTGATTTTAGTACACGGTAGAGGTGTAGGGTGTGGAAGAAAGCTTACCTTCTAAAGGTGAAAAAAGGGTAAGAAACAGGAGAACAAAAACAAAGATGCATAAAGTAGTCATAATAAGGAAGTGATAGTGACAAAATAACTCAAAAGGCAAACTAAGGGTCAAGTGCCAAACAATATAGGCCAAAGTGATTTTAATGCCTAGATTACATTAATGTTAGATTTTCTGCAAGATTTCATTTGTTAATAAGTCTGGCTTCAGGTCTCAGTAGTTTCTTTAAATATATTTACAGTTACTTCTTGCTTATAGCACTAACCCTTAAAAAAAAAAATCCCTTCAGCAATTTACTTCAAGGTACTCAAAAAAAATTGGCAGGAATTTCAGTTATGCAGTTACATTTATTTGTAAGCCCACAATAACACTTTTACGATTCTGTCTGTCAGACCTCCTTTAGTCTGCTAGACATTTCAGTATCTTCAGTAGGTATCACTGAAGAGCACCACTTAACTCCAGGTAAGTGGTTGTAGTCACTTGCACAGCTTAACACTGAGTTGTAAGGAACCAATACTGTCCAAATGCCAGCTTCACAGACATCACACTTATCCAGAAAGGCTGCTCAGTCTAACGTGTATTTCTTTGAGACAAGGCAAACACTTGAAATTTACTCCCGTGTCCAGACTAAAAATGGGGCTGGGGGAGAAGGAGGAAGTATTCGAGGAGGGATCCCCAAAAACTGACTAAAACTTCTCAACTTCAGGCCTTTTGCACAAGGAATATGACAGCAACCAATCTTTTCTAGTAGTATCTAGGAGAAAAAGCTCAGGTAATCTCATTTACGAATTCCTAGCTACAAGACCAGTTTAATGTATAGAACAATAGCTTTTTACCTAACTTTCCTCTGTCAAATATGATTATGTAGCCACTGAGCCATCTTCAAATGCCACACTCCTTTAACTTAGCTTATTGAGAGAAAGCTAATTTTGAAAGATACATTAATAGTCATCTCTGAAGATGTTCTTTGACCTTGAAAAGATTATACGATGTGATTACAAAGTGTTACAAAACTGATGCACAAATACATAGTTCAACAGTCTCAAAACCACAAGTTTATAAAGCGTACAACACAGTAGATAAAAATTAGACTTCTACATACAAACGTAGGTGTGAAACATACCTTGCTCGCCCAGGCATCTTCATCCCAGGAAGTGAGTTGTAATACACGGATTATTTCATTTATCTCAGCACTCATTTTCTCCACTGTGAAATTGCGATTTTTCAATGCCTCTTCTATTCCCTGGCTTTTAGAATTTTTCGTGGTTACGAAAATCTTCATAGCTGTGAAAATACCATAGATTAGAAAAAGGTACATGAAAGGTACGATCAATGCTCAAGGTGACCTCCTATTGCATTAATACAGAGGTAATACATTTTATTTTGCATGGACCATTTTATCTCGAAGAGATTCTAGTTTTGACACAAGAAGCACAGTTATTTCCAATCAGTACAGAAGCAATGTCAAGGCTGTTGTTTTTAATAAACATAAGACATTGGAACCCCAGCTCAAAACAGACAGCAATTCAGAGTGATACTAAAAATTTAAGCCGAAAATACCTGAAATAAGTACTGGCAATAGCTCCTTCACGGTATTCATGGAGTTTACCAGCATAACCCTATGTTCCTGATGAGTTAATTCCTGTTGTCTCTCATCAATCATTTTGGCCATCTTTGTCATTCCTAAAGATTAAAGTAATCAAACATAGTCATAAATAAAGAAATGTAATATTAAGTCTAATTTGCAACAGTTGAGCTTTCTAAACAAGAACAAAATGTAATAAGTTATGACAACTATATTGAAGTTTAAAACTTAATTTTTATATTAGCAGCTGTTACTTAAAACACATTCCAGATGCTTCAGAGAAGCCACTGATTCAAAACCTAGCCACTATGCAAAGTAGAATGGAATCCTCAAAAGTCTTGATTTAAAATCCCAGCAATGAAACAGGAAAATACCTGAAATGACTACTTTAGGACATGAAGTCACCTCATGAACTCTGGAAGCTAATTTATGGGATTTTTTTTCCTTTTCTGTTAAGACATGATCAAAGCCTTAATTGTGAATGGCAGAAAAAGGAAACATCATGGGGTTTTTTGTTTGTTTGTTTGCCTTGAGGTTCTACCAGAGTTCAAGAACTGTATTTATACTTCAGTTCTGCTAGAAATATTTCAGTGCTCTAGAAGTGTGGAAATAATTCAATTTATTCTAGAGCAAATCTGTTTTCAATGGCTAAGGCTTGTGAGGTTTACCACACAGCACGTGGAAATTTTAGACACAGCTTCACAAAAATTTAAGCTGATTTAAATTGGTGCTGTTGTGGTCCCACTCTCTCTTTCTCCTACCGAGGAGAAAACTGGAAGAAAGCTGTATACTCTTTGACTGAATTACTTTTCTGTTGGTTAGCATCTTAATATAACAAAAAGGTTAAATGAGCTTTAATTACAACACTAAAAAGTAGTAGAATCCCCACACTGACAGCATAGAGGGGTAAGTTGTGCAGAACCACCTTTCCTTTCAAATGACAAAAGCCTAAATAGGTAATCATGTTCTCCCCTCTACTTCCAACATAAAACTGATAAGCACTTTGCTGATTTTAAGTGTATATGCTCATATTCCTGTTATTTATACACTGCTCACATTAACAGTTAAGTTCAGATGCCCATTGATATAGCTGAAGGGAGCAAGGACTACAGGCATGAAAAGTTTTGTGGGCATGGGCTGTAAGTGTTGAGCAGCACTTAGTTCAGGCAAAGACAGTGCTTCTAGAGCATGCCGGAAGCACAAGATTAGCTATTTATTCAGAACAGCATGAGTTTAGAGAAGATTATTTGTGATAAATGTACAAGCCTCCATCTCGCTTCTGAGAAATTAAGACACTTGCCCAACACCTATTACCTCTATCACGTAACAGCAAATTACGTCTGTGAGGTTCAATGAAAAGCCCCAAATGCTTGTGACTGAGCCAAACAGAGTAAACTGAAGTTTGGGGAAACTTCCATTTTAAAGACATGGAAGACAATGACCACAGAGAAACTGAAATTGTATACCAAGTAAAAGAACAAGGTTCACTGAAAGAGAAGATTGCCCTTTTGCTTCATCTTTTCCTGTTCAAAATGAGGCAAAATCTATTTAGTTGAAGGTAACTTCTCACGGGACATTCAAAAAAGTTTAGAGAACACTATACATTTCATATGGAACTTAAAGTTTTTCACATCTAGAAACAGGGTAAAGTATACACGTTAGATAAAACCAGGATAATCTACAAACATGCTCTGTGACATGAGAGCTGCTAGTCATTTCATCTATGAGCTAGTTATTCTTACAGTACAGATGTATTCTTATTTATATATATAAAGTACCAACTAGATTCCTGCTCTGTTTATATAAGCATTCTTTAGTTCAGTGTAACTTTAATTCCTACATTACCACCACAACATCTAATTTTTATAGAATGCTTTTGTTAAATACCTAAACTGCTTTATGCTTGCTGAAACTAAAGCGTTTGGAGTAGTAGATGACAGATTAATGGTAGGTTTCCTCTGTAGCAACCCGATGCTTCACTTACCAATTGCCCACCTTCCACCAGGAAAGTGTGAGTTAACATGGTGGAGTAACAAGTAGTGAAGGAGCATCAAATAATGAACAAAGAATTTTTGTAACAGCTGTGCTTTTGTATTACACTGCAAGACAGCTATTTCTGCAACCTCTCTAAGATTTTAATAGATGATATGTAGCTTATACTACTCCAAGAAATTCCTACTAGGCCTAACCATCTCAGTTAGTACAGACATTTTATCAGCTTAATGGACTTTATAGCTGTGAGTGCTTAATCACATTATTCTTACAGTACAGATGTATTCTTATTTATATATATAAAGTACCAACTAGATTCCTGCTCTGTTTATATAAGCATTCTTTAGTTCAGTGTAACTTTAATTCCTACATTACCACCACAACATCTAATTTTTATAGAATGCTTTTGTTAAATACCTAAACTGCTTTATGCTTGCTGAAACTAAAGCGTTTGGAGTAGTAGATGACAGATTAATGGTAGGTTTCCTCTGTAGCAACCCGATGCTTCACTTACCAATTGCCCACTTCCACCAGTGAAAGTGTGAGTTAACATGGTGGAGTAACAAGTAGTGAAGGAGCATCAAATAATGAACAAAAAGAATTTTTGTAACAGCTGTGCTTTTGTATTACACTGCAAGACAGCTATTTCTGCAACCTCATTAAGATTTTAATAGATGATATGTAGCTTATACTACTCCAAGAAATTCCTACTAGGCCTAACCATCTCAGTTAGTACAGACATTTTATCAGCTTAATGGACTTTATAGCTGTGAGTGCTTAATCACACAGCTTTTTCAATTTTTTTTGTTTTACTCTTACTAATACATGCTTACTTCCCTCATATAATATAGTGTAGGAAAAGTATAGTACATATCATCTGTGTAATACATATAATTTACCAACATCTTGACTCTTCTGCATTCTTGAGAGAATGTGAATCAGAAAATAGTCATCATTCACCCTCTAGTTCAAAACTCTTTCAAACAGACATTTTCAAAGCAACTGGTTTATCATTGTCCAAACACTCGAAACTTGGGTAAGGAAGGTGCTGGGGGGGAAAAAAGGTAGTGAAAAAGACTATACTTAGTATGTTTATGATAGGCTGTAGCAAATCAAACCTGGCCCTAGATTCTTTGTGTATGTCACCAAATCCTCCATAGTTTCTACTACTTCCGCCACAGTCAGATATTCCAATATTCCTTTGCAGACACGGATGATTTTACGGACCTAAAAAAGGAACATTCCACCATTTACTAGATGAAGCTAAGTCACGCTTGAATTAGAAATGCAAGCCTATTATTAGAACAGAATAGGTATAGCATTTGCTAACATGACGTATGGGCAATCACAAAGGTCTGGGATACTGATTAAGTTACCCACAATGCCATTACTCAAGAGTGCAATATCGACAAAGACAGTATTTAATCAGCATTCCACTACTCAGAAATGCAAAATCCTACTTCCAGTGTTTTCACTTTGTATGATAAATGAAGGATAGCATTGAGAAAACAGGTTATAAGGAAGTGCATTTAAGTATGCTGGCATGCTTCAAGTTTTTCATTGCAATTTCATCAATAATTTAACTTAAATCACAAAGCAAAACTACATAGAAAGCAGACTCCAAGCTTTCAGAGGAAGTATTATTCACCATACAGCTTTACATATGGATAAAGCATTATCCAGCATTCCAGTGGGAAAGGTAGATCCAACATCTTAAGCTTTCCATAAAAATCTGTGAAGACTGTACTTTATTTACCTCTGGACATCTGCCTCAGCTTAACTTTTTCAGTTCATACTTGATTCCAAAACAGAGTTCTCTGTTGGTTAATCTTCTAACCTCCTGAACCACATTATTTCTGATAACGTTTAGATAACATCTAAAATGTTTTTAACTTTACTACACCACCACATACAATTCTCATTGAAGAATGATTAAGTAACATTTCATTCGTATCAACCACATGCAGTGTTCAGTCCCTAGAACAGACCATAGTTTCCTCTAAAACTCATTTCAGTTTTGTCCCAATGTTAGTTTATCTTGAAACATAGCAGGATAGAGACATGCCAAGTTTTGTATTCGTGAAAAGACAATCATTCCAGACTAATATTTTTCTTTTGGTTAATATGCAGTTGTCAGAGACTAGTTCAATGAAGCATTAACTCCACAGAAGTCAACTCATTTCCTAAACACTGGAAGCAGGGAGATTAAAAGCTATTAACTTCTTTGCAATTCTGTCCTGTAACACTTCATAGTATCTATTAAAAACCACTTAAAATAATGTGTAATCACAAGTGCCAGAGAAATCCCATAGCATTCTCCTTATTTCAGAGGAACGTGCTAACAGTACCATGAGCTGACTGAGTGAGAGACAAGGATGCCATGTTAGACTACTCAGAACAGCAGGAAGAGTAACACAATTTCATAGATTAACAGATTGTTGCACGGGTAAAATTTAGAATTAACATCAGCATTTCTAACAGTGTGAACTTCCTTTCCTCATAGTAGCATGATATTTGCTATTTAGAAATCAGCAAGACTCCACATTCTCAGAAAGAGGACTACAAGAGTAAGTAAGATTTGTAACAAAGAAACATTTTCAAACATAAGACACTCAAAACTTCCTTTTTAAGTTTCCTTGCAACACTGGCTTTTTTGTCCATCTGAGGATGGACCAACAGCACCTCTGAGCCACTTTTTGGCTTGTGCAGCAGCCAAAATGTAGCAACTGTTACATCCATCAGAACACATCTTCTGGCTAACCAGCCAGACAGTCCAAATTTGTATTGCCTCCCGTGCCCCAAGGCCAATTAAATTGCCACAGCTAATGAGTCAGACAGACATGTTAGGAAGCGGCCTAGGGCTTTTCAGTGAAGGGATACAGAGAATATAAGGATCAGTAATGGCTATGGTGAAGGGAATACAGAAAAGTGTCAGCAAGATGTAAGATAGGGCTGATGGGATCTGGCCTTTTTGAGGAATAATCACAGGCAACACCTAAACATTATGTCATACAAAGATGCTCTTAACAAAACAGAGCAACAAGCCTAAGCTCCTTCTGACAGAAAGGAATGCAAAATACGCTTCCAATCAAGCTAAAACGATCAAAACCACATTCATCTACTCAATAGTTTAGATTAGCTAATTCAGTTAGGTGGATATTTGAATTAATAATACTGTTGTGCAGATACCTATGTCAGTCATGTTGGGATTCCTACCTCCGCTTCATCGAATGTCAGAAGTAAGTCTGACGTTCCAGAAAGGATGCCTCTTGATCCATCAATTAGATAGTCACGAGCTGGTACTGAATAAGGATCTGCTTGCAGCATCTGGGCTGCCCGAACAAGTTTGGTGCAGGCATTCTCCACTCTGTGGGAAGTCATCACACAAAACTTGCTGATTAGTTTCTGTCTGTATGACAACAGACCTGAGAAAATGCTGGATTTGTTTTTAACTTTACTACTTAAAGCACTGCAAGCAAACTGATCATTTTACACCTTTATACTTTAAAATAAATACAATAAATACTCTTGCTTTTTAACAAGAAAGTAACCAGCAACTGTACGACACAGTTTTTCAGAAGTCATGCAATCTTCCCATGTAGGGAATGCCTGAAGTACCCCATGTACAGCAGTCAGTGCAGTGTCGTTAAGGAGAGGTCCCAACGCAGCAAAACACCTTTCATTCTTAATGACAAGGGCAGGGGACAAAACAATTATTCTTTTAGGACTTCACAATCAAAGTAATTGCTAACCTTTATCAGCCTTGTATTTGCATTGTCATTCAAGAAGCAATTGCTATTAATAAATATTAAATGATAGCTACACATTAAGACAAAAGAACATAGTATTAAGAAAACCAAGACACTGTGCCCTGCTTGTTGAAGCTGTAAGTCCAGCTCTTCAGAGTCTGTTAACACTCACAACAGAACTAGCATTTTAAATAGCCACAAGATTTAGCAATAAGGTATGAATTTCAAATGCAACTTGCAATTCCACACTTAAAAACAGAACGGAGGTTTTGCAAGATATTACAATATGTAATTACAGTAACACAGAAGGTACTACAATAAGCAAATGAGCTCTGAAATTAGGTTACATCAACCCATTTAACTGAACTGGAACACTGAAAAGCTTTCGGTTTTGTTCTCTTGTTGTAATTAGTCCATGACAACTTAGAGAAATGCAAAATTCAGACTTCATTTCCATGTTAGCTATGCTTATTCATGACTGTAGTTATTGACTACACTGACTGTGACTTTCCTCCATTCTCTCCTGTTTTTTTGACAGAAATGTAAGTGATGTAAGTGTAGTCTAATACATAGGCTCCATGCATGTGAGTGCCAGGTGCTCATTCAAGTTACACGAGGTTCCAACAAACATTAAACCCTTTTATTACAGCAATACTATCTCTTATCGCAACTTTTTCATGCTTGTCATATAGCCCATTTTCTACTGACCACTTGGACACACTCGTTTATCTTACTTTCAGTTAAGTACTATTGGAAAGTTACAGTTATCCCATTTTCTCTCCTACATTCCTTGTTAACACAAATGGCAGGACTTAATGGTAACATCTAAATTGAACTACGCTAGAAATAAGACACTCATTACAGGAAAACATACTTTTTTCAGAAAGTAAAGTTTTCAGCTAATGGCTCCCTAGAGTAGATCAAATTGGGCCAGCTGACCTTATCATAACCTGCTCTTTAGTGAGACATCTGCTCAGCACATCAGATGGTGGTAACTCATAACTGAGTAAGAAAAAACAGGAGGACTTCAAGGCAGAAAGTGGGAATGGTCTGCTCATTACTATGCAATGTACTTAGCTGCATTATCAAAGTCAACTGACTTCACTAAATTAGATTTCCGCGCTTGCTTCTCAAATTTATTCTTTTCAACTCTGCCATGAAAGGGATTAAACAAATCACCTATTCAGCCAGCTCAGAGCTATAGGCTCGGAAATACTTAATTTCCTATAGTTCAATTTCATGGTCATCTGTTTAATACTAATGATGATCTCAAGGCTGGCTTTTTCATTTGTAAAGAAAGGAATTAACGTGAATGTGTATTACCCCAGAAGTCACCACAATTAACAAAAATAAAGTTTCTAAAGATTCAAAGTTTTCTTTTACAGTTTTTAGAGTTGAACCTCCAAAAGGTAAACTTGCATTTTACTTGTACAATGTCTATTTTGTATAAACTTCCCAATGCATTTGAAAGACTTCAGGAGTGTGTACTATGTACTAAAAAAGCAGAATGGTGGAAAAAAAAAGACTAAAGATATTCACTGCAATGAACTGTTTGTTCTATCACAAGAATCAAACACATTCAAAAGTTTTTAATAGAAGTTCATTGCTATGGTGAATTTTCTAATCCCTGTATTATATCGCAACCTATAAAAAAAACAGCTTTATAAAAAAATGTATATTTATTTTTGTGGCATGATTACAATAAAGCTATGTTAACAGCAGCCAAATTCTTTGTGGAGAAGACACAGGTCATGGTATTTCCAACCATACTACTTTTGGTAGTCAATCAGCTTCATTCCTGTAAGTGTCTTCTTTATGAAATGATGGAAAAAAATTTAGCTTATGCTAAAATACCATTTTAGTTTTTAGGTTTTAGTATTGACCTCCGCTCTTCCTAGAGATGCCTACCCAAAAATTCCAGGCAATGACGTTGATGCTTGAATAATGCTCATTTCAATTTCTAATCACTTAAGTTGTAGTGAGTTTACTCACTACAGCTTAGATTACTTGCAGTTCTAGAAATAGAAATTAAAAAGTAAATATTTTACATTAACATTAACTTGTTAATACAGTTACCAGCAGTGCAGCTTCAGCTTGGCTACCAAAATAATGTTAATATAGAATAGCATTACTGCTTGATTTGTTAAATGAGTTTGCGTGTGCAAGTTAAACGTAGACAAATTTTTATTCTCAGTGTAAACAAATCAGGCGTTACCCTATTCTTTGCCTAGAGATTACAGCTTTTTCCTTCTTTACAAGAGAAGTATAACAAGTAATATGAACTCATTGCAAAACACCTGATGTAAATTATATGCATTACTCATACTCCCTGGTGATTAAGACAATTAAAATAAAGAACACAGCATTTTTTAACTCTAGGTCAATAGTTCCAATGTGGTTTATGTCAGTAGCAAGCAGAGATGCATGATAGCTTCTCAGCAGCCAAATTATTTTGCTGCACAATCACACTCCTACTGAAAATCTTTACAGATTACCATCATATATATATTCATTATGAACCCTCAATGCCAGTCTCAGGCAAGACAAAACCCAAGTCTTTGAAAAGAGTAAACAGAACTTCTCCCTCATCCTCCAAAAAAAGTCTTTGAAAAGAATAAACAGAACTTCTCCCTCATCCTCCAAAAGTGGTTCCCTCAAGACTGGTCGTCCTTTTGAATGGAGAAAATACGGAGAGGGAGTGCGGTGCTATCGCATGCACGCTGCTCCTGGACCCCATCATCCGTGTGCCAGTACAAGTTCTGCTGGAGCACTCCCTTAAAGAGGAATGCCAATTGCTGAACTAACACTTTAGAAACAAAACCCCCTCCTCTCAGGAAAGAAAAAAAGAAGAAAAAACCAACAAATCTCATCTGTTTCACTTCCTGCATCCAAATCCTGCCCTTTAATGCAGGAACAGGTAAGACTCCCTTGGCAACTCACCTGTGACTGTCACTTGTCCCTACAACACAGATATCAGTGACAATACACTTGATTGTGTTAACAAGGAACTGTTAACATGTACTACTGCATTTTGATATAAACTCCAGATTAACAAAAAAAAACAACAAATGCAATAGATTATCATTCATAAAGGCCACTGAACACTCCTAACTCATGTTACTGCATCTAGGTTGGTAAGTACTACGTGCAGTAGGTTTCATTACTGTGACAGACAGCTTTGTTTCCCATTTTTCATTGTATCACAATTCAAGCAGTCATGAATTGCTGCAGAAAAAGTTCTTGCACCCAGCATTCAGCAGTGCAAGAATCTAAATCTAGCGCACTATTTAAATCTCCACAATCTGCTAAGCGTTGATTAAAGACTGGTTGCAGTATAGCAATTAAGAAAATCTCTTTTCCTTAATCCCTTACTTGTCTAGGTGAACAAGAAGCTGGAAATTAACTAAAAAAAATCTATCTATCCTAGAAAATGAGTACAATCAAAATTACATGTTTTTATACAACTCATCAAGACGTAAGAAAAAAGTTTTGGTCTCATTTCAATACATAAACACTCCCCTCAAAAAAAAAAAATTTAAAAAAAATCAAACCCCTCTACACCTAAACAAGATCACACACCAGGAACAAAGCATAATAAATACTGTAGTGGATTGTATCAAAGGCCCATTTAGCTCAGTATCCTGTCTCCAAAAGTAGCTGCAAGTAGATGCCTAAGGAAGGTTAAGAACAGGATAAGCATTTATCATACTTCCTCTGGGCACTCTCCCATCCTCCAACTGTTTTCAGTTCTTGAGATTTCCTGCAGTTTGTCTATTTGATAACCCACAATGGATTCCTCTAAGTACTTATCCATTAACCTGCAAACCTGTACAAAGAATTTTAACAGTACATAACTTGCTATACAAAGAAGTTCTCCCTATTGTTGGTTTATAGACTACTAGCTTAAAGCAATGCCACCATCAAGTTCTTGTACAGGAAGAGAAGCGCAAGTTTCCATCTTCTCTATGTAACTCATACTTCCTTAGACCTTTGTCAGGGCCCCAATCCCCTCCGTCACCTTTCCCAGGCTAAAGAGTTCCAGCCTACTTAGCTTTGCCTTATACAGAAGCAATTCCATACCTTTGATTGTTCTCAAAGTCCTTCTATGAGCTTTTTATAGTTCTTCTACAGCCTTTCTAAAATTTAGGGACCACAAGTGCATGCAGTATTCAAGGTGTGGGAGAAAAATACACAGTGACATTTTGGTCTCTCATCCTTTGCTGATAAACCTAACATTTAGTTTACTTTTTGACCACTACTGAGCATATAATGGACGCTCTCACCAATGCGTCACAGCTCCAAGACCTTGCTCACTATTGGTAATAGTCAGTTCAGAGTCAATCATCCTATCTGAAGCTAGACCTGCTGCTCTCCTATGTGTGCATCTTTTCAGATCTTTCAAAATAATTTCATCCACACTTGATATCAAGCCACTCAGTTTAATAAGGTCCTGCTGCAATTTCTCAGAGTCATCCGTTAATCTCACTACCCTGTGTACGACTTTGGGTCATCAGCAAGTACTTTGACTCACAGCTCATCCTGGTTTCCAGGGCATTTGTGAACATGGTGAAAAGCACAATCCCAGCAGAGATCTCTAGAGTCCTTCTGATTACCTCCCACCATTGTCAGGGTTAACCATGTAATTTTTCCTTTCACTTTCAATTTTCTCTTTTCCATATAAGAACTTTTCTTATTACCCTGTGGCTACTTCATTTTCTTAAAAGCCTTCAGACTTCACCAAAAAGTTTAGAAATCAGTGTATACCGTATCACCTGGATTACCCTTATCCCTGTTTGTGATATTTCTAACACCACCAACAGATTTATAAGGCAGAATTTCCCTCCACAGGAACACTGTCAGTTCACCCAAAGCAAATCATACGTATCTGAGATCTGTTAATTCTCTTCTCTAGTACAGGATTTCTAGTCATTTGCTCCAAAGGTATGTCAGACCTATTATAGACCTGCTGTTCCCCAGATTCCCCTAGAAAGTTTCTCAGGCAGTAGCATCACCTTGATTGACATACCGGGTGGTCTCAAATGAGAGACTGTACTTCACTAATAATTCAGGTATTTCATTCTTGAGCTTTTACGCTAATACCACCCGGTCCTAGGCATTTTTTTGTCATTCATTTTGTCAACTTACAATGCAACAAACTAAATCCTTTCTCACTGCCTAACAGAAATTTTCTTTTTAGACATCATCTCTGTTCTCCGTTTTAGTATTTTCTTAGTTGCCTCAATGCTTTCTTTTTTTGACTATCTGCCTGGTTTGTGTTTGGGAATACAGTAAAATATTCAGTCATTCTGTACACATTGGACAACACTAATAGAGCAGTCACTACATTCAGTAGGTTGTAGGACAAAGTCACTTCAGTGAAAGTTTGTCAGTTGGCAGTAAGAAGCTTGGCAATTCCACAACAAGAAGAGAGACACGATTTTTAAGACTTAAGGCAGCAGAAGGAGAAAGTCAGTTGTCCTTGACACTGAGCCATGGAATTAAGAGTGGCAGTCACTGCTCTTCAAATGTCTTCCATTTCCAGGCAGTTATATCGTGCATCAGCTGCCTATACTGACAAATTCAGTTTTCCACCAACCAAATTAATAGAAAAGATTGAGACCACGTTATCTCTGACACTGCTAAGCAAAACTACATCAGCACATAGGTAAGTACCATTGTTACTCTGAATTATTTTTTTTTTTTAAAAGGAAGAAATACCCTAGATATGTACCCATATACATAGAATGTAACAGGAAAAGTCACTGTTGGCAGAAAGGTCGTTCCTGACAAAGGTCAGCCCCAAAGAGCTATTCAAACATAGGAGTATTTTCTAACCTGTACAGCAGAAATGAGTGACAATGATCTATCATTGGAACAGGTTTCCTGTACCTATAGTAGAAGATTTACAATAAAATGAGTTTACTTGATAAATGCTGGTGGCATATCCCTTTTCAAGATCTGGTCTTCTGTTGTCTGCACAGTCTCTTTTCCAACCTGCAGGAGAAAGAAGTCATACTTAAGATTCAGAATTTCACTGTAAAGCCTAGATGAAAACAAATAGCAAAAGAGCAACAAAAAAATTTTTTTGTACTAATGATAATTCCTTTCACTAGGTCTGCTGTTGCTGTGTCTATTTTTGAGACCACTATATACTGTGGTTAGTCTAATGCTTTAGAAATCATATGTTGTTTCCTGCCAACATCTCTACTACATTAACTGGGAGTGGGCACTTTTCCCGCTTCCCACTCTCCACAGAAACAATACTATTTGTTTGCTACACTTAGTTGTATAAAACTTAATCACTGTGAACTCTGTAGTTCAGAGTTCCCTCCCTCCTAATCCCCAGAAGTCAGAAATCAAGCTAAAAGTTAAAAAAAAGTTACCCCCATTTTGCTATTCAACCTAGTCTATTAGAAAAGTGTAGTTAATTATTGAGAATACACCCCACACCCACATTCACACCATCCTTTAGGCAAAAATAATTATGCAGAAGCTAATAAAGAACGAGATAGAGTAAGATCTGGAGTTTTCAATACACTAGCTCTTGTGTTATACAATAGAAGTCTTTATAATTGGTAGCTGGCTCTCCGGACTGTGAGATCACCAACTTGACAAAATATTTCCAGCTCCTTTGTTCACTGTATTTTCCAGCTGAATAAGCTATTCAGAAAGGCATCACAAAGCAGAAGGTCTTTAACCCAGACACTAGTTTGTGTTAAGAGCTACCAGGCCTGCTCAAGCTAGACAAGATAGCCCTGAAAATCTCTGATCAGCTGGCGTTTAAAGATTTGCTGGTTTTTGACAGAAATTGTAGTGTGCAAGTATGCACAGCACTTGCCAATTCTAATGCTGTACAGCCTTCCAGAAGCACCATTTCCTTGCAAATTTATGCCGCTTGCCAAAAACTGTGTCTCCCTAGCCTGGTCCTTTTCAGAGGGGCTTTACAGAAGTATGTTGGCCCTGGTATTTTATTTGGTTCAAACACAGAGTCAGCCTAGTCTACTTTTTTTTTTTTTTTTTAATTTATTAGTACTACACTCACAAGTAGTCACATAGATATTTATAAGTGATGAAGGGAAGAACAGAGAGGAGGTTAAAGGTCTTCAATTTTATTATAGGTTTCAGTCTCTTATGGTCATTGTAGGCTCACTAACAGCCATGCTCCCTCCTAGTGCACAGCACTGCAGTGTTGCTTTGACTCCTAAACTTCATGGCAATGCCTCAGGAGCACAATTATAAACATATCTCATGCCCCATTTCTCGGGACAGGGTTACATGACCCACCAGAGAGTATGCCTGCTTTGTTCCAATTATTTCCATTGCACTCATGAAATATTTTTTTTCTATTTCTCACATGTTTGTATGCACACATGCATGATAAAGATAACACAGAAAAGGGGTAATTTGCATAAGCTTTGGATTACACATCATTCAGACAGAAGGCTGTCACCAGGTGAAAAGGAAGACTACTACTTTATTTCCAGAGAACCACTGGGAGGAAATCCCATTGCCTTGAAGATTTATTTCTCTTGCAGCTGTACGAATCCACATATAGTTCAGTTTAATAAAGAAATATTTCCGAGAATATACAGTTTTTAAAGAATGCATGAAAAATAAAGCTTACAATGGGGGTGGGGGTAGCTTCAATTTGAAGGTCTTTCTAACAATCATTATTGCTATTTTATATTGAACAGTCAGCCAGGAGCAACCAAGAAACAATTTCTGCTCAGCACTATACAGCACACAGACAGGACACAAGATTTCAGGCAGTTCCCATGAGGCTTCAGTTAAAAAGGTCCCCTACCTTTCTAGAAGAAAGGACTTTTTACCATATTTTAAGCACCAATACAGCACATACTCACTGAATCTGTTTAAACATAAAACCTTGTGGCTCAAAGGAAAGCATTTAGTATTTACATAGCTATTAATTAACCTTTCCAGAAGTGGCTCTTTACATTTGTAGCCAAGGTATAGAGATGGAATGTAAAGAACAAGTGTACTCCGTATACCATTTAACAGGCGAAGTCTCAAAATGTGAAGCCACATTCATGACTGAAAACACACAACCCCAAAAGAGTTTTGTGGCTTTTCCTTTTTAGCTTTGTGGTTAAGGGGACTTTTTGTTTTGTTTCTTACTTTGTTTTAATAAGATCCGGTTTCTTCAGACTGAATTTTACATGGGTTAAGCAATTTTCAGACATACTGCAGTGTAACACAAGGTAGAGATTCACTCAACTCTACCTTCTCCATATTCCAATACCAAGGGAATGAAGATTTTTTTTTTCCCCCTTAAGATGTAATATCTACACATTCCCTATTTCAGGCAGAAGGCTTGTCGAGCTTCATGCTAATACAGAACAATTATCTGTGAAACCTGTATTTTGTTTCTATCCAACAGTATACATGTGGAAAAAACAGGATTCCTACTTGGGTTTCAGATATTCTTACCTTCTAAGATTATTTTTCCCTAACTAACTGGGAAGCAACAGTCTCCATGAAATAGAAGCTTCTGCTTTTAAGTAATACTGGTGGCCATTACTCATCGTTCCAAAGAAACTGCACGGGTTAACACAGTAAAGGGACCCTAACTTCTTGAACAGTGTACTTGCCCAGAGCAACACAGAGGAAGGGAAGCTCTCAAGCAAAACTTACCAAGGCAGTTTCATAGTTACAACTTCTACCCACCCATATTAATTTCCATACTCTTTGGGAGATTAGAGGCAAATCAGTTGAATCAAGATAAAGAATTAGCTACTTCCCTGCTCGCTCCCTGCTCCTTAACAACAGTGAACAAGAGGCTGACAAGTCTAGAAATTTAAAGGAACTGGGACATGCACAAGTCAGAGGGCATATATATGGCCACTGAAAAGCCTTCTAGGAATGCAGCTAGAAGAACCAGGAAGAGATTGAGATTTCCTGCTGCTTTTGGCTTTTAACCTTGCTTGTAGGTCTCCTGCGCTCTTATCTGCCACTGATTAGTAGAAGACCAGTATGTTTTAAGCTTCCTGCTGGGAGTATTTTCTCCATGGAGAAGCAAGAGGAAAACTTTCTGATCAGGCAGAGGTTTTCCCTCATAACCAGTTTTGCAGCTTTTTGTCATGTCTGCTTCTACTGCAGGAAAGACGAGACATGAGCACCCCACAAGGTCCCTTTCCCATCTTCTCAGCCTGCTGTGCTGGATATAGCAAAGAACAGCTGTTCAGTGAAAAGGGGAAATAGTTGCAGCTTCTGTAATTCTCTAAGAGTTCATTTAAACAAGGACACCACAAACACCCAGTAATATCTAGTTCTCTTAAATTCTAGAAGTTTGAAAGTACGAACTGTATGTATCATATAGAATAAAACACACAAATATTTAAGATGAGTCCAAAGTTTATTGTTTGGGGTTTTTTTGTTTTGTTGGGGTTTTTTTTCTTTTTAAACAAAGATTCTTCTGAATGCCTATATTGACAATACCAATTTGTCAATTTGCCAAATGCTGGAAACGAAAATTTTCCTTGCAGTTTATATGATTTCCCCAGTTAAAAAGGAAGACCTTAGAAGAATTAGTTCTTGCAATGTTCCAGAAGCTAATTTAAAACATCTGTCATTTTCGCAAGGAGCCTAAGAGTATTCCTGCATCATCATTCAGCGAACACATACAGCCCTGGCTGTAACACTAGCAGAGCCCCAGGTCTCTCCCAAGGAATAAGCTATGGGATGAGTTTTGCTTGACAAATCAAAGTACCACTCAAAGTGATCTAAGTCTGTATGCTGCAAAAGCAACTTTACCATAAGCCATCTCTCATTGAAATCCAGTTGCTGGTTTACGCATTCTTCCCTGTTTTCAAGCTTCCAGGAAGAACAGTGACATGACAGTGGGAATGTTAAATCTCACATCAGAAATTTGCTGTATGTCAGTGCAGTTCCATGAAGTTCTCTGCAACCTCTTTCTCAATTTCTTTAGATGTCTGTCCTGAAAAAATAAACTTAAGTATTTGCTATAACTCTACAATGACAGCACTTTCTACATTGCATATCCATGTCTAGAATCCATCTCAAAACAGAGTTGCCAGTCCTTTCCCCCCACCCCACATTTTAAGAAAGTAAAACTGGCCTAGATTTCAAGACTATGAACAATCCATCAAGCAGAGCTAGAAGCAAGCCAAAGTTACACCAAAATTATGCCTACTCCTTGCTGGCATAGATGATGTACATTTCAGTCCAGACTGAAAAATACAACATAGGCAGAGAGAATTAAACCTTTGTGAAAGCATTTTGAATTCAGGTGACAGACTGAGGGGGTGTTACTCAAACATAGCAGTATAAAGAAAACAATGACTGAAGTTAATGGTATCCAGTTTTGTATCCTATACCTTTCATGGAGTTCATCCCTCCCCACAAGGCTTGTCCATTGCAGGCCTAGAAAGCAGGTCCTTTATCTCAAGGCTGAGTTCAGAGACAGTTTGTCTCAGTGGGTTCAAAAGTGGCAAGGGCTCAATAACTACTTCACAATTGTGCAGTTTTCCCTTTGTGAAACCAGTCATTGGAGCCAAATTACACAGAAAGCTTTTGGGAAGGAGCTCTAGCAGCAAAGGAGAAGCAAACAGGACTTAGCTGTTTACCTTTATTGTTGTCAGTCACAGTATTTTGATTGCAACCCATGTTCTGTTTTTATTTACAGCATCAAGCAGATCCAGTTGTTGGTATTTCAAGCTATTTCACTCAGCTCTTTCTTAGAAATACAGCTGTTGGAGCGTATGTTGTTTTATTATGCCCTGACTCCTAGCTACCTTAACCCATGTGGTAAATGTTAGCAAAAGAGAATTGCATACATCCTGGCACAGTAGCAAAGCATAAAATTTTGCCAGATGCAAGTCAAACACCTTTGGGGTACATCATGAAATTTCTTGGTCACACCTAGATTTCACAAGTCACTCAAAAATTACCATCAGATAACATGAACAGCTTCCAGTAAAGACAGAACTTTCTGCAAACTGAACAGAAGAGACAAGCAA